ATTTATTATAATAAAAAAAGAATATAATAATATATATAATATATATAATATATATAATATATAAAAGTATAATATTTATAAGATTAAAAGAGAATCGTGATAGATTCTTTAAGTTTCTTTAATAATCCTCTTATTATATTAAAGAATATATATAGAAACCTTTTTTATTTATTATAATTAAAAAAAAGAATATAATATTTTATAAGATAAAAATAATAAGAATACTTTATAATATCTTTAAATCTTATCGAATTTATTTATATTATATATATATTAAATATTTTATTAAATATATTTACTAATTATATATATATATATATATAATTTAACTATCTTATTTAAAGGTATACTATATTTAATAGTATAATTATATTATAGATAATAATAAGAAAAGTATAAATATATTTAAGGATATATATATATATTTAGATTTAAGCTTATTTATTAGAAATGTATTTAGATCTAAGCTTTTTCTTTAGAAATATACTTGATTTATTAGATATTCAGTTAGATACTTTAATAAAGTATAATATTTATAGATATTTTATTAGAATCCTTTTCTTTTTATATATAATACTATTCTTAAGTTTAATATATATTATACCTTATTAGTCTTTACTCTAAAGAAATATATAAGATAGAATAAAAGTAAGTTTATATATATTATAATATATTATTAATCTAAATAAAACTTTTACTTTCTATAATTATCTATTATCTTATCACTATTAAGTTTTATATTAAATATATAAGGAATACTATCGAAATAAGTAAAATATATAGCTGGTAAGAAGTAACCTTATAGAAGGTTTAAGAAAGCGATATGATTTATAGATAATAAACTAGTTATATAAAACCTTAATACCGTTTATACTTATCTAAGGTATAGTAACTATAGTAATCTTATCGAAGCTAGAGATTCTAATAAAGAATTAATTAAAATAATAATTAATTCTATTAAAGGTTAAGCTAATAACTCTATAAATAATCTAATCTAGATAGTTAAGAATAGTCTAAATAATCAGATTATAATTTAATTAAATACTTTAGATTCTAATATAAATCTTATTAAAGGTATTAAGGTTATATAGAAATTATATAATAAAATAGATAAAAAAGATAATAATATCTTATATCTTATTAGAGAAAACCGGTATAAGTTATATAGAAAAGATAATACTTTAATATATAAGGTTATAATTCTACTAACTTCTATTAAGTATAAAGAATATAATAAATAAAAGGTTAGTATTATCGATTATATAGAAAACTTTAATTTAATTAAAACTCTAGTATTAATATCTTTAAATAAAAATATATTAAAAGAAGAAATAAGACGATCTTATTATATTCTTTCTCCTCTTAAGGATTCTATAAAGATTTTTAATCTTTAAGTTATATAAATTTTACTTTAAATAGTAATTAATTCGAGTAAACGAATAAATAAGTTTATAGAAGAACTTACCTTCTTATTTAAAGAGATTTAAATAGCTTTTAATAAATATTTTTAACTTTATATTTTTATTAACTATATTATTCTATATTATTCTTTTTATATTTAATAGAACTTATAAGAAAGTTAAATAAAAAAGATAATTTATAAAGAATTTTAATTATTAGAAGAAGAAAGATAAGTAAAAAAGATAATTTATAAAGAATTTTAATTATTAGAAGAAGAAAGATTTATAGATAAAAGAGATCTTAATAAAATATAATAAATAGGTAAAAGAGTAATAACTTTATTCTATAAGTATTTAATATATAAAAGAGCCTTATTAATTTCTTAAAGTTCTTTCTATATTATTTTATAATTATCTTTATAAGAAAGAATACTTTAATAATTCTTAATAATAATAATAAGATTCTTTTAGATTTCTAAATATATACTAGCTCTCTCTTTTAAATATTTATCTTCTATTATAACTTTAAATTTAAGACTATTATTCTAAATAATATTTTAAAGGTTTCTATCTAATATATCTTAAATATCTTTAATAAGATACTAAAGGTCTCTATATAATTTATCTTAACTATCTTAAAGATTCTTTTCTACTTCGAATATTTCTAAGTATCTTTTCTTTATATTATCTAGTTTAACTATAAAGTTCTATAAGATAATAATTATAAAATAATATTTATAAATATATTTAGCTCTTTAAAAAGCCTTATAATTATAGTTTAAGATATAAAGTATATTATCGTTTATATAATATCTTAATATAACCTTATACTACTTTAAATCATTTAAGAAAAACTAAATTATAATAGGATTATTATTAATTTTAATATTTTTATTAGCTTTTATTATATCCTATAGAATAGTCTTATCGATTTATACTATTTTCTTTTTTACTTCTTCTTCTTTCCTACTAAGTTTTCGCTTTTAGATTTTAAAGAAAATATAATATTTATACTATTAAAAGTTAAATAATACTTAGGTTATTAATTAAAATATTAAGAAATCTATTTATTTTATATATAAGTAAAATAAATATATTATTTTTAACTATAGATACTATCTCTTAATCAGATTATTTATATCGATAGAATTAGTTTACTTATTTCTACTAAAGAAGGCTTAGCGGTCTAAATATAAACCTTATTAAGTTTAGATATACTTTTTCTACTTTATTTAACTTTTTTTTTAATAGAAGATAAGATAATTACTTTATTAAATTATAAATTCCTTTTTATTTATTTTTTTATAGATAAGATTCTAGAATCCTTTAAATAAATTAACTTAAAACACTTTTTTTTTACTTAAATTTATCTTTAAATTATAATAGATAATTCTACTCTATAACTTTTTATATACTATTTATAAGATATAAAAGTAATAATAAAGAATCTTTTAATCTAGTCTTTAAATAATATCGATTATATATATCTTTATAAGTAAGTAATTAATTATTATTATTTTTAACTTAAATTTATAGTCTTTTTTAAGTCTTTTAAGTTATTATATTAGTGATAACGATAACTCGATATTCGTTAATATAAAACTAATTAAAACCTTTTTTCCTATTATAAAGTTAAATATAAATAAAGTATATAGATAGACTTTCTTAGTTATATCTATAATAAACTCTAAAGTCTAAAAGATTCTTTTTATCTTCTTCTTTTTTTTAAGGCGATTAAAGTTAATTCTAAACTAATTAATCTCGAGTTTAATATATAAAATATCCTTTTTATCTAGATTTATTTCTACTCTAGTATAATATATTAAATCTAGATAGAATATAATTATATTTAGATCTAAAAGCTAATCTAGTTACTATCTAGTATAAAAATATATTAATTATATATAATAATATATACTATTATTTTCGATAGTAAGATCTATAAAACTTTAACCTCTATAATCGGTAATTAATTCGATCTAGAGTTAAATACTCTTTTAAAAGCTTATATATTTCTAAGATATCTTATTTAAAATCTTATTTATAATATTATAGATATATTTCTCTATTATTAAATCGCTTTTACTAATTAGATACTATAAACTCTTATCAGAATCTTAATAAAATCTATTTATAATATAAGAATCTTAATAAAAGATATCTATAATATTCTCGAAAAAACGCTTTTTAAGAATTAACGATTCGAGGTAAATATTAATCTATAATAAATAATTTATAATCTTTATAAGTATAAGATATATAAGTCTATATTAATATTTACTATTAATTATTATAGTTATATAATATTATAAACTAAAATAATATATATTTATATTTATTTTATACCTATAATCGAATTCTAATTAAGAATCTTTATTTATTTATTTCTTATATAATAATATATTAGCTTATTTAGCTTTCCTTATCTTACTTTTAGATCGAAGTATAAAGATATATCTAAAATATTAAACCTCCTCGATAAGACCTATACTTAGTTTATATATTTAGTTTTTATTAAATTATAATTAATTATTTTTAAAATAATTAAGCTCTTCTTTAGTAAGATAATAATCTATACTACTTTTTAAATAGTATATATAGTAAGGAAGGTCGATACTTCTTACCGAAAGATCAGATATTCTTATTAATCGCGATAGATAATGATAGGAATAAATAGGATTCTATAAGAAAGGAACGCGTTTCTTTTATACCGCGTCTGGTTCGCGGTTCGTATTTCTCTAGTTTTAATATCATATAGTAAAGAATAAGGGTTTCCCTACTGAATCTATCGATTCGTTTACGAATCTGTCGAATAATTATAACTCAATTTAATATGCATATAAAGAATCGTACGAATCGGTCGCGTTTCTTTTTTTAAATATAAAATTTATTTTAACTACAAATTTTTAAATACAATTCAGATTTTAGCGCGTGCGCGCGCTAAAATCTTCATACTGGTTTTGTGCACATTTTTTTAAAAAAGCTATCAAAAAAGGCTGGGAAAGTACCTTTATGCAAGTTTTTCGGCCGCGTAGCCTAGACCCTGCTTAACATCCTCCGCAAATAAAAAAGACAAAAAACTTCTTTAGCGCGGCCTCGGTGAGCGGGGTAAAACTTTGTTCATTTCAACAGTGTACGCGTAGAAGACCGAGCCAGGAAGGGGCAGCAAAGTGTTTGCAAGCATTCAAATTGATAACCAATAAATGCATTCATCAAACAAACATTCTCGCCGAGCAACGTTCGGCCATCGGTTGCTGGATGACGAGGTCGGTCATCAACAAATCAAGCCACACCACATATAGAATATATCCCAAATATCAAATCGAGATCTGTTGTTGAATTCGAAGAACCTTATTCGGATCCATGCATACAATCAGCCCGCTTCACCTTCTACCCGAACCTCTTGGCCGAGCATTTAGCGTGAAGAAGTAAGCCATTTTGGTTGAATCACCTCTTCATCGTTGTGTCTTTCACATCTCGTATCACACGCCTCGGTGTAAGATCGATCATCGTGGATTCTATTTTGTGCCTGACCGAAGGGGCTTGCTATTCGGTCAGAATCCCAAGCTCTTTGTAAGCAAAAGTATGATCCGCAGTTGAGTTCACCTTAAAAGCTTATATATGTGTGGAAGTGGTCAAGAGTAAACCAATGGAACATATCTTTACGCTTTCTCATCTTCACCACCAAGTCTTTGGATCATGACCTAATCTAAAAGATAAACATGCTATTCATTTTCTGTTTTCACATAGGCCATGATCATTCACGCCTTATCATCATTTTTGTAAGCGGGCTACAGCTTCCTTTTTGAATGGCTTATCTCCGTATTCCGTTTTGTGTGTAAGCGTAACGCGTATAGTATTTCATGCGTACAGAGGCAGGAATGAAATTCGGCTTTCAATAACACTATTTACCCGGTGGAGAAAAAATGGGATTAAAGCAGCATACATTCGACCATCATCCTTCCTTCCTATCAGTGATCACCACCTCATCTCAGAATGAGTACATCTTCAAATGAGCAGAGCTCAAAGAGAGCCTCACATATCAGTCCAATTGATCGATTAGTCGCCCTCAAAAGGGTGAACCAAGCATCTTCCTCTGAATCCGTTCAAAAGTTCGAAAGTGTACAAAAACCATTTCCACTAGGAAACGCAAACAGTATAGCATATGGAGGCTTTTGCGTAAGTCTTGCAATCGTATCTGCTTATCAATCTTTACAAAAATCACAATTGTCTAAATTGAATATATACTCTGTTCAAGCATCTTTCTTGGGTCCAACCAAATTAGATGCTTCTGTTCGATTGGAAGTAACGACTTTACGCGAAACCAGAACGTTCTCTACACGATTGGTACTTGTCAAACAAGATCAAGGTCATAAAGATAAAAATACTGGAATTCCTGTCCTACGCTCAACGCTTGCATTCCTTATCGATTTCGTGGCCACAAAAGGAGATCGAACGCTAGAAGGAATGGCGTATGCCGAACAACCAGCTTACAAGGTAACCGATCATTCTGCCTTGCCAACAATACAAGAGCGCTACCTAGAAGAAGTCAAAGCCGGTCGATTAGAAAAGAGCGTGATGGATGCGGTAAATGATGTAACAAAAGACATTCGTCCGCTTTACGAACAAAAGCTTACGCCCGAAGGATTGATGTGGGATAACCTTGGCGGAATAGCATCTGACAATGCAACAAAGCAAGATGATCTAAAGACGACGAATAAAGTTACTTATGATTGGCTAAGACATCTACAGGAAAATTCAATTTCAAATCAAGGTGGACCAGACATCCTTTATCCGCCATGTGAACGAGCATCAGCTGCATGCTTTTATGGTTTGGTATTGGATGGCTATCTATCATTCTTACCCTTGGTATTCAGCCATAGATACTTATATGACGCCGATGCTTGCTCTTCGCTAGATCTATCGCTTCGATTCCATGTGGACGATTTACGAGGAGGATTGTGGAACCTGCGAGAGATGAGAACGATTGCGGGAGAAGATGAACGTACTTACTCACAATCTAGGCTATGGCAAAAGACATCTGACCGATCCAGCACAAGCGGTGGAAAGGATGAATTCAAACTTATCGCTACCATGACGCAATCCTCTGTCATGCGTGGCTTCGAAAAGGATAAGTCGCATATTTGAGACATGCCCGAAGTATTGATCTTAATTGTGCTTTAGAAGAGCTCATTGGGCTCGAATTTTCTTGTATTCCTTCTTGGATAATCGAATTAATATTGTACAACAAGTCAAGCGCAAGCCTCTTTTTGCCGTTTGGATAGCTTCAACAGCGCCACATACCATTGCTATTATGAATTATGCTATGTACCCTACTCGGCGTTCAATTAGAATGCGTTCAGACCCTTAAGATCGACCATTATCAAGCCGCCGATGCCAAATGAGCCGAATGTCGATTATTGCCAAGATCTCAGTGCTCAGGCCTCGGAATAATATCATGGCGTTATCAATTTGTCCCTTGAGCTGTCATTATCACACGATCAGATCCCCCATGGAAGCGGATTCGATATACAAAGAAGAGAGAATGTTCTACTTGTATAAACACATAGAAGAACGGGCCTCAGTAGATCTTCCTTGTTGAGAATATTGTTCATCATTCATTATTCTCCTTTCTTTGTACTTTACATTATACTTTAAACAAATATACCTCATTTTCAGGATGAAAATCATCTTCATGTATATATCTTTGTATATCAAATACCTACTACCACCACTTCCCTTCCCGTCATCCTCACAAAGATGATTTCTTTCTTCTCTCGATTGTTCAAAAGCTTGTGGTTATTTATCGTGCTCGTATGTTTGGCAAGAAAAGGATCATGTTCGACATATTTTCTTTCAACTGATACAAGAGGATCAAGATTTTGGACCGATTACAAATTCGTGACAACAAATGCAGTTGTAGGAGATAATTTAGCAACATATACACTTATGGATGAAGCACTTGCCACTGAAATAGCAGGTTTAGGACAAGAGGCTCCATTTGCACTTCAAATCGGTGTGGATAATTCAACCTCTAATCCTCCTTTTCGTAATAGCGTCAAGCTTCAATCAAATTATCTTTATGGAGATGGCTTATACGTGTAAGTGTTTAAGAGAAGTGCTTGTTGTATTGTGCTTTCACTTAATGAACTCTAATTTCCCCTATTTTCAGCCTTGATCTCAATCATTACCCTAGCGGTTGTGGTGTATGGCCTGCATTTTGGACAATGACAGCAAATGCGAGTAGTAGTCAAGAGATTGACATTATACAAAGTGTGAATGATTTAAGAGAAGGACCTATAATAGCCTTGCATACGGATCAACAATGTCAAGCAGGATGGATACCAGGTTCAATGACGGGAACATTTGGTGAACAAATGAATTGTCGTCAACAAAATGTTAACGTGAGCGGATGTGTGGGCTACTATGAATCTCTCATACATGAACCGGCAAACATTCATGGTGGAACGTCCGAAATTAGTGCTCGAAGATCACTTTCTAAGAAAGCACAGCAAGGCTCTACCTTTGGACAGACTGGTCGAACGGTCATCGTCATGCAGAGAGATATTCAAAATTCTAATGGTATCTCAGCTTGGGCATTCAATGAAACCGGCGTACCGGTTAATCTGAACTATACTTTATCTTTGGCAGGCAATGGGAATGGGCAAACAAATAAGTCACTAGCAATCTCCACGGATAATTGGCCATCCCCGAATGTTTTATTCTCTCTACCCCAAAGCTCATGTAAAGAACAATGGGAAAGGCATTTCTTGGTAAGTAATGGAGCATAAAGTAGAATTGTGGCAAATTGATTTAATTCAAAGTCCCTTCTTTTATTTTCAGGTAATCAACATAGGTCTTTGTGGTGGTTGGGCCAACACTACCTACACCAGCAGTGGATGTGCAGCACAATTCGATACATGTGCCGATCAAGTTGCTAGTCAAGTTGCATCATTCGACAATGCTTTTTTCTCAATCAATTCAATCACAGTTTTCGCAAGCAATAATTTCAATCTTAATCCTGTTTTACTACCTGGACTGCCGTCAGGTGGTGAGCGTACCCTTTCTACGAATCAAGCTCACATCTTTTCCATCCTTTTCGCATTCATTGTTCTCATTATTCTTTTGTAATTAGTTACACGCGAATCCTTCATTATACCGTATTCCTGAAGCTATAAAAAAGATTGAACCGAGTGGTAGGATACTCCTGTGCAACGTTAGAAGCAGTTTACGCCGCGAGATTCGCCTGGCTTGCAGGCACGACAATTTGCTTTGGTTGTCTCATAAGCCGTACTATAATAGCCAGGCTTGCAATTGGCACAATCCTTGCAATACCAATCAAACAAATCCGGAGGACCGTTTTCGTTTGATCTTGCGTAACAGCATGTTCCTAAATCATCACTTGAACATTTCACTTGTGCACAACTGTTTGCATCAGGACATTCAAGACACGTTTGGCATGAAACGGGTGGGTTGCTAGCAGAACTTGATCCAATATCGCAAAGTCGTGCGCCACCTGAAGGTGACCAAGCAATACAACTTTGTCCTCTGAAAGGGGATGCCAGTAATCAGTTTTATTCCTTAAGCGATAAAATTGCCCACTTTACTCACTCATAGACGCCAAAACAGCATGGTGCAAGTATACTTTGGTCATGCGGGCAATGTTTGCATTGAGATACGCAATTCGGATCGCCATCACAATAATAGCTGGCATATACCTTGAAGGCAGCAAACACGAATGTCACTTTCAGCGCAAATAAGAAAGATGGGATAGAAAAGCTAATCATGGTGAAAATCCGATGTGAAGTATGATTTAGATTTATGGATGGTGTGCAGATCTAAGCCGCATGACACCCAGGATATGATACCTCTTATCCTTGCATTCTTCATAGCATCGCATACTTTGCAGCATAGGTAAGTACCAAAACAGTCAAGATTGAGAACTTGTGTTCAGTCGGAGCATTTTTGGTTAATTAACTTTTGGCAAATTATCGAAGGCGCCGCGAACAGCTCATCAAAAAGAGGTAAGCGAAAAGTTGAAACGAGAAGACGTGGATAGACAGGAGGTTTTGATATGCTGACCAGAGAGCAGATACATGTTTAACAACGCTCTTCGTGTACACTTGCCCCTGAGGATGCGAGATCGCACATTTTGATTTGGGCGTTGAAATTTTTGTATTCGCTCTCCGACATGATTTCACACAGCGCAGAAAGGTGTAAAGAATTGATTGAATTGATAATAAACAGCACACGAAGTGCTACAAAATGCTCAAATAACTTCTGTGCTCAGTAAAAGTATACGAAATGAGAGCTATGAATTCAAGAGCAAGCGCAACAACACCGAGCGAACGTCGAAACTTGTTGAGAATGATCGCTTGAACATTTCTTCTGTAGATCATTCACTTCCGCTCTAACAGCGTAAACAATCCTTACATGTTTCAAGCGGATTGCCGGTGACTGTTACACCTGTTTCGCAAAGTTGTGCTTTACCAGAAGGTGACCAAACGTTTGGTACGTCGCTGAATAGAGGGTTAATGAAAATTAAGTAATAGTGAGCAACTAGATCCTAGTAAAACAGTAAAACAATTCTTACCGATAAACGCTAAAGCAACAAACTGCTTTTCCGGTTGATGGACAGCTTGCACATGATGAGACGCATTTCGAATCGCCACTGCAATCATCCGCATGGATGCTGACCGCGGTCAAAACAGTAAAGATGATGGCGATCTTTAAAGCGAGAATGAAGGAAGGGAAGGCAACAAAATTCATGGTGGAAAAATTGAATTGGGGTTTGTTGTGGAAGTGGATTGAAAAGAATATCTTTCCCTCTTTAAATAAGTCTTCACTTTGAGTACCTTCGAAGTTATTTGTAATATATAGTGAATTCGTTCATTGCATTGCATGCGTAAGACACTTCATATCAATCCTTATGCTTCCGAGAATGTGACTTCTTGTCGTATCCGCAAAGGCGCCGCGCGGTTGCATTCATTGTGACTATGCAACTCTCAAATTCAATATGCGGACAGTCGATTGTCAATTTACTCTCAGACGAAACCTCGGCCCTTTCCGTCTTTTCTAACATCATTCAAATAACAATTGTGCCTTTGTATTCTTCTTCCTTTTGATCTCTATCAAACGATCAGTTTCTTTCTCTTTCCGATTGTTCTCCACCCTGATCTAGATTTTAAAGAACTCATTCGCAGCCTCCAACTTGCGTATAGAAGGCACTCATCCCCTTCACAATAACCTTTACGCAATTCAACCTCATTTGACTTCAACTGGGCGTCCTATACTTGCTTTCTGACGTAATTACACAAAGTGCAAAATTGGGCTAAAGAAGTATTCATTAGATATTTTTAGCACATAAAGGTATACGGTATGATAGAAATGCTATTCAGAGTAAGTCATGGCAATACCAAGGCAACCTGATGGGTGACTGTTTGGTAATCGCTCGAAGCGATGCTTGAACATCTTGCTGGAATTCTCTAGCAACGTAGACAATCTCTGCATCCTGAAAGGGCATTACCGCTAACATCTACACCGGTTTGGCAAAGTTGTGCTTTACCGGAAGGTGACCAAACGTTAGGTACGTCGCTAAATAAAGGGTAAAGATATAAAGTAAGCAAAAGGTTCAAGTAACGAATAAAATAATACTTACCGGTAAACGCTAAAGCAGCAATTTGCAAGTCCAGTAGCTGGACAACTACTGCATTTCGAAATGCACTTTGGATCGCCAGAACAATCATCCGCGTGAATGTTCACTGCAGCTAAAACTACAAAGATGAAGGTAAGCTTCAAAGCGAGAATGAAGGAAGGAAATGTAGTCTTCATGGTAGGAAATTTGTTTAGTGTGGTAAGAAGAATCTTGTGGGATTGAGTGAAGAGGAAATCCTGTGCAAGCTGCTCTTTTTATAACCCTATCTAGTTTCGTGCTTTTGAAGTTATCCCGGTATGAAAGGGGAATTTCTATATTAAATTGCACATATACGGCATGTCATATCAACCTCCTATGTATTCGAGAATGTAACTTTGGGACATTATCTCATAGACGGCGTGCTGTGGAATAAGCATTCCCTTTCTTATATAGGAAAGATCCCCTCAAATGAATGAGTATTTCGTTTACGACCAAAAAAGAGGATGAGACGCTTACCTAGAATGGCATGCGTAGCTCCTGACTTATATTGACTTCTACCCGTACAAGATGTCTTACTTAATCTATCAAAATCTCTTGATAGGATGATCTCAATGTGACAGAGTTATGTCAAAGGAAGATAGAACACACGAAGCGGCGGCTGTCCTTGCGTTCATGAACAGGATATGGAAGCAAGAAAGGAAGAAGAACACAAACGATTAGTGCGGCATAGTTCTTTCTTTTGTTAGCGTGAACAATGATACACTATTATGCGGTAATTGAGCAAAAAGTGTCACGCTAAACATGCACTCTTTTGCCACTGATTTCTATTAAAACGGTAACCGATTATGATTGAACAATGAATTCATCCCGAAGAGTGGGGTGCGTGTGAAAATAGGGGGACTCTTTCTAGACTTCATCTGAATGATTTATATCTCGTTTATGTTTAATATTGATAAGCAAGATAGTATAACTGCTTAATCTGTATAAGGAATATTGTTGCTCTCGCTAAACATTATACAAGCGAGTTCAAATGAAAATGAAATCATCGAATTTATATCTATTGCCTTGACCTTCTAATCAGTAATTTGTTCCTGAATTTGATCGGAGAAGCCGAATAATGAACGGGAAGGCTAGAGTGATCAAGACCACGCTAAAAGAATAATTAATTCACACGAGCGTTATAACCTACCCGCTTAATACTTTACTCCGCTTACAACCCATTTTTGATTGTGTGTGCATACTCACACAGACTTCATTGTAAACGTCAAAATGCAATTACCCTTAAAGTACACACACACACGCGGGCATAAAACACACACATAAGCTGTGTTGCATACAATCTGCATCTAATTTATAGCTTAATTAATCAAAAAGCGGCGATCAAACAGTGTGTGTAAGTGTGTGTCTACTTGCCCAATCAGCTGACCACGTACAAACAAACACAAATAATCATAACTCCTCTCTACAACATTGTATTGACATGGTAAATTGATCCTTCTTCATTGAATGGCGAAATTGTCATCGACAATCCTATGACGCATATCAATTCAAATTCACCTCCTATACTATGGCCTCCGGTATCCTTCTCCGGTACGAGTTATTCGACCGGGAATAACATCTATGACAATAAAGAAGGTCAAGATGGTTTAATCAACACAAACGCAGCATGGAACGTTAGCGGTCCAATTGATACCAATCAACTTCAACCTTCTCATAATGATGTAATTGTTGAAAGTTCCAACAGTCAGCAAACTGCCAATCTTCCGGCTGATGCATTCATAGCATTCCCAACACAGCAACAAGGCATTCATCCACCTTTTCAGCATATACCTCCAACATCTCATTTCCAAACAAGCATACCGACAGCTACTCAGCCACACTTCATCGACGACAGACAGCCTGCAGGAATCAACGCTCCTGCTGTCGTTCAGAATACGGTTACTCTACAAAAGCTTCCCAAACGCGATCATTCAAATGATGGAAATGCAGATGCATCTCAACCAACCGATCCACCTAAGCGTACAAAAAAGAAGAATACAAATACCAAACGAGAACAATACCGATCATGCGATCAATGTCGTTCAGCAAAAAGTGCTTGTGATTTGAAATTGGAAGCTCCTTTGGTAGATGGCATACCTGCTAAAGCTTGTTCGGGATGTGCAAGACGTGAAATCTTTTGTACGGCTTTATGGCTAGAGCGGATGCTTACACAAAGAGAACAAAAGCGAAAGAAAAATGCTGTTCATGAACATCAAAATCAACAACAAGCTCGACAAGCAAATGCAGCACCTTATCCGACAACCAAGGATCAACCGCCAGCAATCGTTGTGCCAGCAGGACAAGTGAATCAAATCGAAAGTGGCACAACTCAATTCTTGACGCCAAGCCCGATCAATGCGGCGCTTCCTTTGGTCAGTGGTAATATTGCCAATTCTCAGCAACCCATGTGGCAACACTTGTACGCCCTACAGACGTACAACTCACACACTCTTCCACACAGCAAAATGGAACAGAGTCTCGGCAAAGATCTAATGATGGACCATTTGGAACGGAACAAGTTCAAAATCTTTTACGAAACCTTTGAGATCCCATTCTCTCATTGGCTTGGTCAAGAATGCATTCCGCCGCCTTACCGAGCAGGCTTGGCGATCATGAATGATAGCCAAACAAACACAAGCGGTGATGCATACGCAGGATCGATGCACAGCTCGCCCAACATTGGTACGCATCGAGGCAATGAAGCTTTGCAACGTGTACTGAACAAGGCAATGCTCGAGACGGGTTCAGATGCAATTGGAAAGTGCTCCTTTGCTTCGGCGCCTTTTTTGCTTTCTTCGGTTTACATCTTGGATGCTTTGATGGACTCGAAGCGATTTCGCGGGAGTCGTAGTCCCAGATCACCTCTTTACAGTGCGCAAATCGAATCAGCATTACATTCGGCAGTTTTGGCAAGTGCTTCTCAGTATGGCAGTCAAAGTGCTGAAAATCTTGAAGCTCAAAAGCATATGACGGCAACTGCATGGTACAAAGCAAAGAAGGAACTGTTCGATTTAATATCTGATACCTGGTCTTTCCGTCTAGCATTGGGTTTGCTCATCTTTGGAATGACAACGCCTCCGACACCCGAAGACGGACGTGTTGATCATTCGACATCTGAATTATACCAAAATACCCTCTTTGCAGCCACTGAAGCCTGTCAAAGATTACGACAACTTTGTCAACACGTTCGTAGGATTATTTCGAGATGTCGTAAAGAAAGACGTTCAGCTCCGGTTGATAGTGATATAACGGAATTACTGGGTGCTCTTGAATGGCTGGCGATTATGATTGATACTGTCAAGATGGTCACTTATCGCACAAATGTTTCGAATCCCTTGACAATTGCTGCAATTTCATCGGCTGATTCGAATGAGGATCAAACGGATTCATTGGAAAGTAACATGGATGCCATGTATTCTATGCCGATCATGGATGCTGATGACAGTGACGATTTTGATGACTCCGATCAGTCGGATGATGTTGCAAATAACATCTTACTTCTTTCCAGATTGGATCTTCGTTCTGACGGTTCGAATGATGGAAGCCTTCCGTCGTCATCGCCACAGATGCAGTTCGCTTCAAATGACATGCAAGCTTCTTCGAGCAAGAGCCCTTCGTTGGATTCGCAATCTGTGTCTTTATCTCGTTGGGAAGACGTAAAGATGTGGAATATGATCATCGAACGAACACGTCAGACAAGCATGCAAGCTCGCGTTCAAATCACACAAACTGGCAGCATTGACACCGAATTGCTTTTGCTGACCATTCGAAGGGCGACTTCTTTGAAGATTCTGTTGTGGAAAGCAGTGGCAGATTATGCCAATCTGTCTCGTTGTGAAAAGTACATGAACGGTCTTCTCAAAACATCTGCAACCAGCATTTTGACGTTTGGTCAAAATGTAGTTGAACAAGATGAAGCATATCAAACGATTGTTGAAATCATTCGACTTTGGCATTCGATCTTTGGTGAGATGGCTAAAACTGCAATGGATTCGTTTGCTTCTTTGCCAAAATCAGGAAGGTCTATGCTCTCATTCGTGTGCAATCATGTTGCGCTAGGCACTTTGCATTTCTTCAATATCGCCGAAGCGATACAAAGGGACCTGTATGCAAGGAAGAAAAGAAAATTAAGCTTCCAACATAATTCTGGCATAAAAGCACCTCTCAATCGTGTTCCGGGCTCGCATGACTTCTTGCACGATCCTCAGTCCAATGAAAACAGGGATACAAAGCATGAATTCTCGGCACAACATCGATCACTCAGACTCAATGCAGCAGAGCATATCTCATTCATTGCGGAACTCAACAATGTATACGCAGATCAAGATGTAGACTTTTCTGTTGTGAACATGTTCCCAGGGGAGAAGAAAGTGACAGAAGCCGTTCTTTCTGCATCGGGTAATGCCTATCATCCCGACTTCTGGCATCATCCGTTCATCAGTATGTTTTTACAAGCTCAACATATGGCAGCTTATGAACTTTTACAAGAAGCTCAAGCTGCTCTTTCACTTCAAGGTGCGTATGATGGTCGACCTTTACCGTCTTTATTACGTTCTGCCGATGTTTGCCTTATTGCTATCCAACGTATGTCAAGCGGTTTGATCTCTGTTCCAAGACCGGCAATTGAGACAAAGATGCAATTGGAAGTGCTACGAGCAATGAGAGCATCTTTCGGATTTTAACAAGTTTCGCTTCTTTCTTTCGTTCGTTCGTTCGTTTTAATCGTTAATATGTGTACCTATATACCTTTTTCTCGCGCATCCTTCTTTTTTACTGTATCTTATTTTCTCTCTCTCTCTCTCTCTTTAGCAATTTTTTGAAATGATATCGCAATTGTCAAGACACCATCATACATTCTGATGAAACGGCTTCTAACGAGTGGTATAACCACCATTTGCAAAGATTGTTTGACCTGTGATCCAATTACCATCTGAAACCAAATGTTTGATGATTGGAGCGATATCATGAATATCTGTCAAGCGACCATCGAGAGCTTGTGATTTATGGAAAGCAACGGCAGCATCTTCTTCTTGTGGATAAAAGAAAGGCGTATCCATTGGACCTGGAGCGATTGCATTGACGGAAATACGTCTTTGTTGTAATTCCTTAGAGGCGGCACGAGTGAAATGTTCAACGGGTGCTTTTGAACCTGCATAAACTGAATAATTGCCTGTGAAAGCAGCCAAGAGTGATGTAACTGTGGTAACAATCTTTCCACCATTTGTGACATGAATTGCAGCATACTTGATAAAGAAGAATGCAACTTTTGAATTCAAATTAAACATTTCTTCGTATTCTTCTTCACTGATGTTCACGATTGGTTTCTTGATCACTTTGCCGACATTGTTGATCGCAATATCAATTTTGCCGAAATCTTTCTTTACTTTTTCAAAGACATCTTTGATTGATGCTTCTGTACGTAAATCAGCTTGGTAGCCTTCATGACCTTGACCAGTTAACTTTCTGATTGCATCTTCTGCTGCTTTTACGTTTGCATGATAAACGTACGCAATCTTTGCTCCGTTCTTGGACAAAAGCTCGGCCGTTACTGCACCTAAAGCGCCGCCAGTGATCAAGACAACTTTGTCTTGTAGAGAGGAATGTTCATTAGACATCTTTGTTGGTATTTGATATGTGTTTGAAATTAAAATGGAAGACCTGAAATTCTTGACTAGATATTTATACCTTTATTGAAGCGGATTTAAGTTGATTCACATCATAACATTCTACTATCAAACCAAGCCTTCTCACGATAATCAATTTAGCGGACATGTGGCTGATGAGGTTCACTAAGTGCGCGCTAAAAGAAGGCGGAGATGTGGAGATGCGAAAGCGGAGATGTGCTGCACTGAAATCGGAGATGTGAAGATAATCCCTGCCATTGTTTGAGAGATTAAGCACGCACTAAAAGCGCAGATGTAGTATTAATTGTGATTCTTATTTAATTCACATGGATTATATAAATGTGAAGATCAGGATTTGTGAGAAGAGACGGAGTTGTGATAAAAGTGGCCCGTTCGAAAGGATATTGATTTAGGACATCAAATATATCTCCAATCCACTTCTACCCATCATCATCGATGAGTGCATTATCTGAACAACAATTATATAAGCTGAAGGCAAACCTGTCAGCTGACGTTACTCTTCGGAAATTGTTCGGCATTCTCTCTCAAAGTGTCATGAGGGTATGTATGATGAACTGGCATATTCTACAACTCACGCCGGCCACCGACACTAAACGGGGGAGCTATTCCCCACGTTTTGAGGTAGACCGGTGACAGGCGTAAATCATTCCAGGCACGAGAGCAGTCTTGTGAACAGAGCGGTGACCGTTTGATGGTACTTATGACCCCGCGTTGTTCAGAAGTGTCTTGTTAAACGAATAAATGTATATGATCAATCAATCTATATAAATATTGACGATCAAATATCCTCCTTTCCTTCTTCTTCCATAACCATACCATTCAACTACTCATCATGCTTTCTATCTCCAAAGAAGGAGCTCTCATCTATAAGCATGACGGTGAAACGTTACAAATCGAGGCATGGGGTGAGAATGCAGTTCGGGTACGCAGTACACTCTTGTACGAATTTCCAAAAGAAGATTGGGCATTAACAAACAAACCAAAGCTCTCTAGAGAAAGTCAAACAGAATTAACAAAAATACCAAAAGCAGAACAAAAATCTTTTCAAGGTATGCTTGCACCGGCAGATCTTTCGGAAGGACCGGCTCATTTGACGAATGGAAAGATTTCCGTGACTATCTCTCCGGTTGGAAAGATGACTATTAAAAACACAAAGACGAATGCAATCTTGCTAGAAGAATTTGTTCGTCATCGTCGTGATGCAACAGATCCAAATGTGAGCGCATTAGAATTAGAAGCTCGTCAATTTCGTTCTATTCCTGGTTCAGATCATTTTCACATCGTTGCAAGATTTGAATCACAAAGTAGGAAAGAACAAATTTATGGTATGGGTCAATATCAACAAGATAACCTTAACTTAAAAGGAAGTGATGTAGAATTGGCACAACGTAATTCACAAGCCAGTATCCCGTTTGCAACCTCAAGTTTAGGGTATGGCTTGTTATGGAACAATCCCTCCATCGGACGGGCTGTATTTGGTCAAAATGTAATGTCATTCGAATCATTGAGTGCAAAAGCATTAGATTATTGGGTTGTAGCAGGTGATACACCAGCAGAAATCCAAGAAGCATATGCAAGTGTAACAGGAACAGTTCCAATGATGCCCGAATACGGTTTAGGATTTTGGCAATGTAAACTTCGTTATCAAACCCAAGAAGAATTGCTCAATGTCGTACGAAAGCACAAAAAGCTTGGTCTTCCGATGGATGTGATTGTGTGTGACTTTTTCCATTGGCCCAAACAAGGTGATTGGAAGTTCGATCCTACATATTGGCCGGATCCAGAAGCGATGATTGCTGAACTCAAAGAGCACAAAGTCGAATTGATGGTGAGCATTTGGCCGACGTTAGACAAAGGATCTGACAATTACGATGCATTTCGTGATGCCAACTTGCTGGTCCGTTCCGAGCGTGGCTCACAAATTCAACAAGAGTTTGAAGGTGAATGTAGATATGCAGACTTTACTTCTCCGGAAACACAAAGAGCAGTCTGGTCAATCGCAAAGCGTAATTATCACGATAAGGGAATCAAGACTTTCTGGCTTGATGAAGCAGAACCTGAATTCTGTCGATATGATTTGGACAACTACCGTATGTATGCCGGATCTGGACTCTCGGTAGGAAACAGCTACCCGGTAGGCTACTCAAAAGCATTCTATGACGGTCAACTTGCTTCAGGTCAACCAGAAGGCTCGATCATCAACCTCGTACGATGTGCTTGGGCAGGTTCGCAGAAGTACGGTGCTTTGGTTTGGAGTGGTGATATTGCTTCGTCTTGGTCTTCTTTCCGTAATCAATTAGCGGCAGGTTTGAATATGGGCTTATCCGGCATTCCATGGTGGACCACCGATATCGGAGGTTTCCATGGCGGTGATCCACGTGAACCTGCTTTTCGTGAATTGATGGTCAGATGGTTTCAATGGGGTACTTTTTGTCCTGTGATGCGTTTACATGGTAATCGTGAACCCGTTCAACCGCAACATGGAACCACGGGAGGAGCAACATGTCGAAGTGGTGCGGATAATGAAGTTTGGAGTTATGGTGAAGAAGTGTTTAAGATTTGCAAAAAGTATTTGTTTTTACGAGAATACTTGAGACCTTATACACGAGAACTGATGCAAAAAGCACACAAGGATGGTACACCTGTCATGCGTACGATGTTTTACGTCTTCCCTCAAGATGCTTATTGTTGGTCGATGGAATGTGAGCAACAATACATGTATGGTGATAAATACCTTGTCGCTCCCGTATTGGAAGCAGGTCAAGCAGAGACAAAGGTATACTTACCCAAAGGCCATCAATGGAAAAAGGTTGACGCGAGCAATGTTGAAAGCCAAGGTCAAATCACTCATGACTCAGAAGTTTGTCAAGGCGGTCAAACGATTAGTGTTGCATCGCCAATGGAGGATATGCCTGTATTCGAAAGAGTATAATCAAGTTGATGATCGAATGACATGAAAGTGTTGAATGAGGCTTTTAGTTTTGTGTATCTTTTCTCGGCCCCGACTTGGCGCGGCGCAGGTACAATGAGAGGCTGGCTGGCTGATGTCTTGTGACCTGAATAAATGCCGCATAAATAGAGTGTGTTTTAGTGTAATAAGTCGGGCACATTAATTCAACGGTCCGATAAAAGTTAATAAAGAGAAAATTAGACACGTCTTCCTCTTTCCCCACAACCTTCATTCAATCATGCCATTGTTGGCAAAGTGAAGAAATCATGTCAAGTAATAGTCCATCGTCATCATCTCCTACAGCATCAATTGGGTCACACACTTCTCCTCTCAAAAATGGTAATCAGTCTGGTGGATTGACAGCTAAAATTGGAGTGGAACCAATCATTCGAAAAGGATTACAGGTCATATCACGAGGACATCGAGCATGCAATGTCTGTAGAAGACAAAAAATGCGTTGTGAAGGATATACGGACGGAGCTTGTAATCGATGTAGAAATACAAAACAAGAATGTATATTTGAAATACCGCCAGCAAAACAAACATCGACAGCCACATCAACAACAACAGCGATGAACGCAGAACGAGAAAGTGCAAATCATGCACGATTTCAGAGATTGGAATCACAAATTGCAGATTTGCATTTTATGATGAGAGAAGTAATTTCAGCCACAGCTATCAAAAATGCATCTCCGTATAGTGTTGCTCAGCCATCAGGATCACAGCAAGCTATTCCAGTGCAGAATGTACCGCTTCAGAGTGAACCCCAACAAGCCGGCCATCAACAGAGGTCTGCATTAGACGCAGAGAGGGAAAGACCGCGTAGTCTCAGTACAAGCACAACAAAGTCAAACAAACGTAAAAGATTAGATGCCGGAGATTTACCGGAAGAAGGATTAGGTGCACCACTCAAGACGTTGAGAGGATTGGCAGAAGCAGCAATACGAACGCCTAGGCTAGAAGTCAATTCCAATATGACAGAACCACCAAGTCATGCGCCTTTCTTGTATCAATCTGCTGGACCATCTCGGGCTGTCTCGCCTGTGTCGGGGAACAGGCAAGCTGTCAAGCTGAATGATGTCGTATCCAACGGCACATTAGATGAGACAGAAGCAAGACGACTTTGGTCTGTATTTTCGCAAGGTTGCCCGCGTTTCATTGCTGCCTGCTTTGTGCAAGATGATCGAGCTTCGAGCGAGGATACTTTCTCCCTCACAAGAAGGGCATCAACATTTCTATTTGTCACAATTTTAGCGATTGGAGCGCAAATTGATTCCATGTCTAATGGCAAACATGCCGCATACCAAATATGCTGTCAACAAGCACAATGGTATGCGCAACGAACTTTACTCTTGCATGCTCCTCAATTACGAGTGGAAGATGTGATGGCTTTGAACTTGATGGCAAGCTATAGCGATTATGGATGGCTTTTGAGCGGTCATGCTGTCCGGATCGCACAAGAGCTGGGTCTTGATACATATTTCAGCAAGATTATGCGAATGGAACACTCCCTATCACACAGAAGAGACGATCAAAGAGAATCTTCTGTGTCTTCTCTTACCTCAAGAACATCGGCTGAAGCTCCGTTGAACAACACAAGTGACAGTAATGATGGCTCAGAAAGTGATGTGCCTCGTACATTGGTAATGGGAGCTCGAATTTGGTTCTTCAGCTTTTTGTTAGAGCACCAAATCAGTTATGGAGCCGGTCGGACTGCTATGCTTCAGCATCACACGGTAGACGGATGCAGGGACTTTTTGCGATTGCCAGCACCTCTTGTTTCCTCTATTGATGCTCGCTTTGTGGCTACGTTGGAATTGATGGTGATCCGAGAAAGGCATATCAATTGTCTTGCTTCGTTTGATCAACCTATCAATGATTTAATGCTTGGAAATGTGTACACCCTAAATGAAGATTTACGTGCTTGGCTTGAACATTGGACAAGAGATCTTCGACAAAGAGGATACGATGAAAGTAGCTTTTGGATGGCTTCTTTGCATTTACAATGTGCAACGGCAAAGCTGTATCTGACGAGCACTTCCTTACGATCGGCAGGGATTGCGCAACATGGAAATGCACAAACACGTTGGGAATCCCTGAATGCAGGACGTAGAGATTTGGTCGTACAGTCTGTCAAAGCCGCTTCTGATGCTTTGAGTATTGCGGTGGAAAATAAGGAATATTTCAATTTGTTGAAATGGGCACCTCATTATACAATCGTCACAGTGACTTTTTCGGCAGTGTACCTGTTGAAAGCCATTCGAATCTTTCCGTCACAGTACCTTCTACCGCCATCAATCTTACAAGATGTTTTCGTACATAGTGAAATGCTCGTCTCTCGTCTGAGGGAGATTCCAAGTGCCAACAAGTTTGGCTTAGTCGTTCTGCACATGCTACGACAGTGCTCAAATCAAATGGATTCTCGATCATCAAGCAATACAGCACAAGGCAGTCCTGCACATCAAAGAAATGTTCGAGAAGAGGACAGATATAGAAATTTTACCACACCTCCGCCACCTCAATCGCAAGATCAAAGGTTCGTGCAGAATCCCTCCAGAGCAACTCAAACTGCCACTTGGAGCGGATTTGCACCTGTACAATCTTCTACTTTCGTACCTTTCATGAACGGAAACGAAACAAATTTGCCACCTTTACAACAACCTTCTTCGTATTCTGCTTTACCAGACACACATCAAAAGTTTGAAAACTTTGATCAAATTCTCTATGAACTTGGCTTAGATGAAAACTTCATCGGTGGTCTCGATAATGGAAGCGATAAATTCGTCGATTTCAGCAATACAGCTCCTTTCTAATCACAGTGAGAATTGGGACAGATCCTCTTCAATGGAACATCTGTTATACTGTATATTATAATTATAACCATGTAGCTACTATTCTCAACACAAAATTAATCATATTGTACGGGTTTTATCTACAAATGCAGTTTTACAAATTTGATTGATGAATCTAATTCAAACTTGCGAAAGGTACGCTATCCTCATCTTGAATGGGTGCCTTTAGCAAGAATGCATTTGTGCATTTAGCCATCGTTGGACTTGCTCTGCTGATTGGATCGGTCATGTAAAAGTTTGTGATTGGACGTAATAGAGGTGCTCCTGTTGCTTTTGCTCCTTTGAGATTTCTTTGTAATTCACTGAATGCCAAACTTGTTTGTCCAGCTGGTTCAGCAACATCATATCTGATCAAAGTTGGACTAATCTCAAATAGACGATCACGGATATCCAGTGTTTCATCATATGGCAAAGGTGTTCCCAAAACTTCTGAAAGTGCACGCAACACCTTCCAGTCTTCACGAGCAGCTCCAGGTGATGGAACAGCGGCACGCGTTAGCTGAGTTCTACCTTCTGTGTTAACGTATGTAGCAGTCTTTTCAGTGTACGCTGAACCTGGCAAGCAAACATCAGCAAATTGTGCTCCAACGTCACCATGATGTCCTTGGTATACAACGAAAGCGTCTTTTGGAATTGCATCAGGTGAGAAATCATCAGCGTTGAGTAGGTAAACAAACTTGGGTGTGGTGTTGGCAGCTGCTTTTGTGGGCACGAATCCGACATCGTAAGCACCAACCTTTGATGCTGTTCTTTGTAGAACGTTGAATCCGTTCCAATCAGGAGTCAAGAATCTTTGTTTTTCGCTTTCGACCAACTTGGCCAAGCTCGACAAGATTGCAGGTCCATCAACGTGCTCTGTAACAGCGCTACCCACGATGATCATTGGTTTCTTTGCCTTCTTGAAAATCTTTGCGAATTCACCACCCTTTCCGGCAATGAAATCGTCAACTGCCTTTGCATCTGATCCTACATGGTGGTAATCGTATGTCAAATCAACGTTTTCACCAATCATACCAACGTCCAATCCGTTGTGCAAGAATGCCTTGCGGATACGGGTGTTGACGATTGCTCCTTCGTGACGTGGATTGGTTCCAACAAGTAGAACTGCATCGGCATCTTCAATTCCAGCAATGGTCGAGTTGAACGAGTAGTTGGATCGGAAGTCGACACCTTGTGGTGGTGGAAGTCCACCTGCGGGAACGTCAAGTGCCAAGTTTTCTGATCCTAGTCTGTTCATCAAATCCTTCAAAGCAACCAAACTTTCGACATCAGCTAGTGATCCTGCGATTGCCTTGATCTCATCACCCTTTGCTCCTGATGACTCTAGTCCTTCAGCGATGGTAGTCAATGCTTCAGGCCAAGATGCTGTAACGAATCTGTCACCTTGCTTGATCAGAGGTGCTGTCAATCTTTGGTATTTCAATCCATCTGCAGCGAAACGTGTTTTGTCGTTGATCCATTCTTCGTTAACATCATCGTTTGTGCGTGGCAAAATACGCATGACTTGAACACCGCGAGAATCGACACGGATATTGCTTCCGACACCGTCCAAAACATCAATGGATTCTGTCTTTTTCAATTCCCAAGGACGAGCGTGGAAAGCGTATGGTTTTGATGTCAAAGCACCGACTGGGCAAAGATCGATCATATTGCCAGACATTTCTGAATCGATCATCTTTTCAACGTAAGTACCGATTTGCAATTGATTTCCACGACCTGAGGTACCCAATTCTTGAACACCGGCAACATCATTGGCAAATCGAACGCAACGTGTGCATTGAATGCAACGTGTCATAACAGTCTTTACCAATGGTCCCAAGTTCTTGTCTTCGACAGCGCGCTTTCCGGTGATTTCGTGGAATCTTGAACGATCGGATCCATAACGCATAGATTGATCTTGTAAATCACATTCGCCACCCCAATCGCAAATTGGACAATCTAAAGGATGGTTTGCCAACAAGAATTCCATAACACCTTCGCGTGCTTTTGCGACTAAAGGAGTATCTGTGAAGATTTGTTGACCGGGCATGGCAGGGAAAGCGCAAGATGCCAAAGGCTTAGGTGCACCTTTTGATTCGACCAAACACATACGACAATTTCCTGCGATCAAAAGACGTTCATGATAACAGAATCTTGGAATTTGAGCGCCTGCTTTTTCACAAGCTTGAATCAAAGCAGTTCCTTGTTCCACTTCAATCTCTTTGCCATTGACGTGCAATTTGATCATCTTTGGTGGTGGTTTAGGTGCTTCACTTGCTTGTTTACGCATAGCCGAGGTGGACAAACATCTGGTAGCTCTGCTTGCATTTGCGATTGATGGCCTGATGTTGGCCATACTGCCTCGTGCCATACGAGATGTAGAAGCGACCGATCTCAACATCATTTTGGCGAATTGAAGATGGGGAGAAGATCAGATTTCGTCAAATATGTCGGTTCGAAACTTTCCTTCTAGATTGCGTGATGGAAAACAGACGACGTTCCAATTGATCGCAATAGAACCGAGATCGAAATCTGGTATTGACAAAGGTGATGGAAGCAAGCGTATTGTTGATCGCGAGGACTTGTTTGTTTCTTCCTTAGTGGCACTCCGATTCCTTTGCACACACACCCAGAGAGAGCGCACGCCAAATGAAAAATCGCAGCAGCCAATCGTCGTTCGGAAGAGTGTAAGTGCTGACAGAGCCTTTGGGAAGAAAGGGTTGGCGCAGGCGTATAGGCAGGCAGGCAGGCTAAGTAACACGCGTTTGCTTAAAGACTGCCAGCCAGAAGGCGGGTAAATTGGAAATGAATAATCAATCCGCCTCTAACAACCTCAACCTATGAGAATGCTCGGAATGAAAAAGTAACTAAAAAGGCTGAAGAAATTACATAATTATACCTCCGCCTTGAAATTATATGCACCTTCAGTAGGGTTTCGTGCCTATCCCGTTCGACACTGATGCACCGCCTTAATTTTTTGAAATGGGGGAGCATGACACATTACTCTTCAACAAGTTATGAACATAAGCCTAGGTCCTGACCATCACTCACCATCTTTCACCAGACGGTTTCTGATTGAAGTCACTCATCGATCATGCCACATGCAGCTGTGATCGCAGCTGCTGCCACAATGGGCGTAGCAGCAGCTGTTGCATTTGAAGTATCCGTATTCAAGCCATGGCGAGAAGAAAATTACCCTGAAGGATTCGCAGAAGGAATGCGAACGGAATGGAATGAAATCAAAGATGAATTCAGAAGAGGATTTTGGGATTTCAGAGACAGAGTTCGAAATGAAGCAAATGCAAATCGTCATGGAGGACCTCGTGATCCATTCTCAGATATGCCGGCTTCTCCTCCTCTTTCCCCGCAAAGACATCAATCTTTACTCGGTGCAAGCAAGCCGGAAAAGTATCATGATGATGAAGAGTATGAAGAGATGAGACAAGTTCAACGTGATTTGGACGAATTCGAAATGACCGAAAGACAAAGCTTGTTCATGAACAGACGATTGCAAACCGAATTCGCCAATGATCAAACGGTACGAAGACGTAAACCCCTGACAGCGGCAAAAGGAGAAGGACAAGAACAAATTCCTTCCGTTGACTCTGATCTGTTCAAATCAGCTTCTGGAAAGGTTACAAATGATCTGGACTCTCCTCATCATAATATTGGTGCATCGTCACCCACCGTTTCACCGGAATCACTCAAGGGTGGCGTACTTCCTGAGATCACAAATACCACCACAACACAAGACGCTGAAGCTGTTCAACAAAACACTACTCGTTCTTCTACCGTCTCTGACGATGAAGAATGGTTCAGTCGTGCATCATCGCCCATCAGAATCGAACACGACGAAGATGGTATGGAAAGCGGAAATGTGAGTGATGCATGGACTCAATTGGAGAACAGTCCTCCCGGTACGCCCACAAGCGGTTCTTGGAGTGCCATAGAGCACAGCAGTAATGGAAGAGACTAGATCTTTTCCTTTCTTTATCTTATTCAGAGTATTTTGTTTTTTATTGTATCATATATCCTTCCCGGTTTCGTCAATTTTTATCTTTTTACGTCCAATGCTTGTGATTTCCGTTAAATTTCGAAATGCTATTTTGCACGAATATACAGTTAGGAAAGAGAGGTGAAATGCAGAGGTGAGGATATATGAAGAACCAACAAAGAAACACCCAACTAAGCTTGTGGTTGTCCTTCTTGTGGTGGCGGTTGCATTGCTGCTCCAGTCAAGAAGCCCCAAGCGTTCAATTTCATTTCTTTCAACTTTTTCTCTTGTTCATCTTTTGCTTGTTGACGTAATGCTTCTCCATTTTCACGCCAATACTTTTGATCTTCCAAATAACCTTGTCTGAATCGTTCTTGTTCCATTTCATACCAATTCTTTGGCATCTCGCCACCCTTTGCGCCTCTTAGACTGCCCAAGAATGAATTCTTTGCGTCTGCTTGTTTTGCCTTCCATTCTTCTTCTTCTCTTTCTTTCAATGCCTTTTGACGCTTGATGTGTTCAGTGGGGATGTGTGTACCTTCATATGCTTTGAGTGTCTGTCGAACGTCTTGGATATTATAGATACCAATGGCTTCCAAGAAAGAGATCAATCCAACCAAATCTGTATCTTTCGAATCACCTTTCCATGGCTTCAAAACGATCGCATTCTCAGGGTTCAATTCTAGCGCCTCGGGATTTGTATCGATTGCAATAACTTTGCTCAAATCGCGATTTAAATGCGAAAGATCTTTGACCACATGTCCGTTATCCAACATTCTACAACTTTCTCGGAAAAGAGTATAACTGATAATTCGCATATCCGGATCTAGCTTTTCCACTACTGGCGCAACGATGTACATTGGCTGTCTGGAGAAAAGCACGATTTCATACCATTGTGAGAGATAGCCAAGGAAATAATCCAATCCAGGTCTCTTGGCCGTTCTCCATGCGTGTTGTCTTGACCATTCGCTGTGAATTAATAGATCATCAACATCCAGCACTAAAGTATAAGGTCTTTGGTAGGGGAACGGTAGTGGGTCGGGAAGTAACTTTGCCCAAGCAGGAGCTTTGATGGAGCTGTACATGTCTCCCATTCTCAACCGAAGCCTTCCCAAGAAGTTATTGGACATCGGGTTATCTCCATGCTTTTCCCGCTCTTCAACTGTATCCCATTCTCTTCCAAGCTGTTGAATGATGAAACCAGATCCTCCCAAAGCACCGACTGTCAAGATACGTCCTGTCAAACGCTTGCTTTTCTCTTGACTTGATTGTCTTGAGTTGCGGGATCGTGCGCCAGTTGTTTGTTTGGCTTTATCATCCTCCACAGCGGCAACCAAAGCGGAAGTATCGATATCAAAAGCGGAAGCTGTTCTTCTCTGTGAGGGGGTTGTGTTCTGTTCTGCTGGAGGTTGAATGGGGTCGGCATTTTGTTTATCGGAAGGAGATGTGTTCTTGGATGATGATGATGAATCTTTTTCATCTCTTGCTTGATCTGCATATCCTCTTCGCATGTCCAGTTGGAACATTCCTCTATTGTTGATACTTGAGACAGCTGCACTTGATCGCATACCACTTACATTAGCAGATCGCAGTGATCCTCGCATTATTGCAGCCATGTTCATTGCCGCCATTATGCTTTGTGATGGTGATTCTTTGACGAACAGGATGACAAAAAGGACAAAAGGAAGAACGCTAATAAATTTTTTGATAAAAATCTGCAACAATCCACCCACCGACTTAAGCACGCTTATCCATCTTCGCTAAACGCCAAATTTACGCGTAAATCTCCTTTGTTCGAGAAGCAACCATAGGCGGTGCCGATTGAGAATATAAGATAATGATCATGTTTGATGGACCGCAATGATGATGTACCAAGAATGACTTTATATTTCGAATTATCTAATGTACAAAAGGTTCTCAATTCTGACTGAATTCTAAGAGATCAGTGATTGCTTAGTCATCATCTCCACAGGAGGAATGGCGCCCTTGTATTTTTAATAAAGGCGGAATTGCTGCTAAATTTAACACCGTTCTGCGCGTACTTACACTCAGGGATTGACTGTATGAATTGTCATTGACTATGACCTTTTTCACTAATTTACTTGTTTCATTTCAAACACATTTCAAAAGCCGCTTTATGTACGACAAAAGATGAATGACAACGATTAAACACACTCTCTTTCCTTTCTTTACATCACATCTATCACTTCTCAGTAGCCAGAAATGATAGCATGGTAACCCTTCCACCACCACCAGATGAGTCAAGCCTTGACAGAACAGGACGACAAAGTACTTCCTCAGGCACATCAACTCCCATTTCAGATCATGCGCCTGTTGAACCGGCTCCCGAACGACACCCACTAACAATATCATATAAACGATTTCATAACAGAGATCCATACGTTGCAGCTGTTTCCGATGAAGCATATATAGCACCTCATCATGTTTTGACATTAACCAGCAAGGCAACCCGATGGGGACAATCGCTATACCATGCAGGAGCACGTTCAGTTAATCAACAAGCAAATCAAGCAAAAGAACAAGATGCAGAAAGAGCAAGTGTAAGAACAGTTGTTTCCGTTCATCTACCACATTGGATGAGAGATTATACCGCAAGAAGATCAAGACAGCAAAGTTTGATGCCTTTGTTGAGCTTTCAAAATCCATGGAGTAGTTTTAATCCGCCTGGCTTATCAACTGCTTTGCGTGGAAAGCTTCTCAGATGGGGTTTGCCGCCGGGATACATCGAAGGAGGTAAATATGGTTCACGTTTTAGAAGTAGAGGAAGAACACTCGAACAAACACAAGCGGAAATGGAAGAGTTGGAGGTAAAGGTCAGAAAGCCAGTATTCGAAGCCGAATCAGAGGAACAAAAACTCAAAAACATCAGAGTCACATGGCTTGGGCATGCAACTACTCTTGTTCAACTTCCGAACGGTATCAATATTTTGTTTGACCCAATCTTTGCTCATCGTGCCAGTCCAAGCCAGCAAGCCGGTCCTCATCGATTCACACCACCTCCGTGCAAGATAGAAGATTTGCCAGATATAGACATCGTTTGCATTTCACATAATCATTATGATCATCTTTCATGGGAATGTATGAAAAAGTTACGTAAACGTCAAAAGACAAGAGGAGGATTAAAGGTTTTTTGTCCGTTAGGAAACGTCGGATTCTTTCGTGAAGCAGGTTTCGCAAAAGAAGATGTAGCAGAGACGGATTGGTGGGACAGAGCTGCGGTGAATAGACCAGGTATGCGAGGCTTCCTTGAGATATGCTGTACACCCGCTCAGCATGGCTCGGGAAGGTCTGGTAGGGACCAAGGGATCAGTTTATGGTCTTCTTGGATGATCCTGTACAAAGATGATGAAGATTCTGCACAACAAAGGATCTTCTTTGCCGGTGATACAGGTTTACGATCAAGACATTCGTCAAGAAAGAAAAGGAGCGAATATCCCATTTGTCCAATCTTTCGTGAGATCAGTTTACGGCTAGGCATTCCGCAGATCATGCTTTTACCAATCAGTGTTGGATCATCGTTGAGTTATTTCCGCAGTTGGGATCCTTTCCCGCGTAGATTCAGTCCATTCCCACGTGTTGAATCTGGAATGACGAGTGCGATTCATATGGATTCAGAAGATGCGGCAGAATGTCATGCGATCATGTCTTTGATGTATGACGAATCGGAAGAGGCCAAAAAAGCAAAAGAAGAAGTGGAAAAACAAGGTGGAGTGGTTTCTCTTGCAGTGCATTTTGGCGTTTTCGTTCGTAATGACGAACAAACGAGAGAAGATGTACGTGATTTACGTAAAGCATGTCGAGATAAAGGAATCGCTTTTGTTAGACCGAAAGATGGACATTTTGATCGAAATCCTGATAGTTCGGATTTTAATATTCAGCAAGAGCAATCAGCCCAAATGTCCAAAACGAAAGGACATTCAAAAATATCAAGTATTGGTCGTCATCGTGCTCTTAGCACGAGTACACAAATACCTATCCCCAAACCAACAGCCTCGACTGGACATTTTCTCGTCTCTGATCAAGGCGAAACGATTTATGTTCCGATCAAATAAGATGTTCATGTCTCACACGCATATGTATAAAATGATTCATTATAGATACCCAATACGACATGATTTCGTATGTGAATGATGAAACTTTCGCGCGTGAGAAGAAACTTGATTGAATTCTGAAAGGGTATTCTTGAGGTATGTTCTTGAGATAATTTACATTGATGATAAGGAAAACTCTGAGATGAGAAAGACCGGTTCAATTCGAAAAAGAGAAACGAGAAAAAAAAGCTATCTCACGAAGCCAGTCGTGGATAAATGCTGGAAAATAAATTCTGTGTGACACTCAATGAATGCCATTTGATTTCGCTTTACGACCGCGCTTTCGGCCATTTTGCTCTTTGGCAGGTGGAACGTCCTCTGTTGGAGTGCCTTCTTCCAATTCTGGACTGGCCTCTTCCACTGCTGGACTGGCTTCTTCTTCCATTTTGGCCGCACCTCTTGCCGGACGTCCTCGTCGCTTCTTTTCGAGTGCATTCATTGGCTCGTCTGGCGTTTGACCATTTGTCTTTGAGACCCTTGAGGCCTTTGAGGAAGCAGCAGATGCTTTTGAGACCTTTGAGGCCTTCGAAGAAGGAGCAGATTCGCTTGCTCCGTCTGTGACAGACTCGACACCGTTACTTGCTGCAGGGCGACCGCGCTTCTTTCTTGGTTTCTCGTCAACCTCAATGTTCTCCTCTTCTTTGACAGGAACTGTAGCAGCGTCAGCATCAGGAATTTCGGCCTTGGCAGCACGTCCTCGCTTTCTTGGTGCCTGTTCCACATGGTTGTCATTCTCTTCTTCTTTGACAGCTTTGGAGCGGCCACGTTTGGGTGCAGCAACCGGGAGAGGCTCCTCTTCCTCGTTCTTGACTCTACCATTTGCTCTGCCATTCTTTCTTGTTGGCTTGACCTCCTCTTCGGGTTCTTCTGCTTCCACTTCCTCATTCTTGACCTTCGCATTTGCTCTACGACTCTTCTTTGGCATGACCTCTTCTTCGGGCTCGTCTGCTTCCACTTCCTCTTTCTTGACTTTAGCATTTGCTCGGCCGTTCTTCTTCTTTGGCTTGACGTCTTCTTCGGATTCTTCAGCTTTCCACTCGACCTCTTCTTCTTCCTCGTCAAATTCCTCTTTCTTGGAGTTCTTCTTTCCGCGAGCTTTCTTCTGAGGTGAGGATGAAGGTGTACCGCCTGGTCCTTTACCTGCTTCAATCAAAGCTGGCGTGACATCTTCTTCAGCAACGTGCCCGTTTGCAAAAGCATCCGAGATTCTTTGTTTGTCTTCTTCATTGAGATCTCCAATCCCGTCCAAATCTTCGGGATCGCCAATATTATCGCGTAAATTTGAAATAATTCTATCTGTCACACAACCCCAATGACGCCAAACCAAACTACGATCTCCGCGAATTTCAATCACCGTACCTAAACGTAAACCATTTTTTTCAATCTTTGTACCTTTGCATGGGATTGGACCTTTACAAGCAGATCTTCCACTACGTGCATACTCAACACGATAAGCCATCTTCTTTTTGCGTTGATGATAATAATTGAATAGAAATAGAAAGGAGTGTATGCGATAGACGGATGGATGGATGGATGGATGGATGGAGGTTGTAAAGAGGGAAGGGTTGGTACAACTTCCTTGCCGTCAAGGCGTCGGCGCAATGTTTTTATGCGCGGCGCGATTTTACAGAAAAATCAACCTTTTGTTCAATTTTGTCAAGCACCGTCAATGGGAATGAAAATGGGAGGAATGTTGCAAATTTTTCATAGCAACGGTGACGGATAGACAGGAGTTGAATGTGTGCAGAGTAAAGCTCCTTTAATACAATAAAATCTCAGAGATCAGTACTCCTTTTAATAGGAAGGCACTAATTAATTATGCTGGTATGAATGTGTTAACAGCGTCAATCATTTCTATTTGCCCTGATTTCCAGAATGCGGTGATCATTTCATTTTATCGCGATTGAGAAAGTTATTCATCTTGTATTCCAATCTATCATTCTCATCTTCTCATTCAAAGTCGCCGAGAAGATGTGGAGTATTGAGTGAGCAAAAAATAACAGACAGATGACGTGCCACACGCATGAGAGTGCATAAATTTAGGCTACAGGTGCGTAAAAGACACGCGTGTGCGCTGCGTCTGCTTAAATCATCGCCCTGAGGCAAATTAGCCTTGGCAATGATGACCGATTTGGAAAGGTGAGGAGAGTTTGCAGGGAGGGCGTCATTGATTCACGTCACTGGACCTTACCTTACCTTTTTGTTGTTTAGTCATAAGACCTTACCTCCTTGTGTGTGTGTGTTTGTACATCATGTGAAATAGGAATCGTGTGTATTCCATATATCAACCAAACTTGCTCCGTTTTCGATCGATCCCTGACAAGCCGGCTTTCCTATTCATTTCGCGATAAGGATGAGGATCGCCTAATTTCAAGCCAAGCACAAGCACAATCATAATTCGTTTGTTTGTGTGCCAGATTACTGTTCCGAAACTTTTTGTGTATTGACGCACAGCCTAGACCTGTTGTAAGAATAGGTGACGCGGCCTTTTCCTCTTAGCAATAACCCCTGGCCATTGTTTCATTCAAGTTCCGAACTGAACGCGTTTCTTTCCCCTTTTGGTTTTTGATTAGACTGTGTTTCAGGCAGAATGGGCGTATGCGTGCAGGCAGGCAAGGCGGGCATACAGGCAGGCAAACAGGCAGCAACAGACCGGGATTCGTTTGCCTTCAGCATCATTCTGCCCAAATAACAAACACACTCACTCAGACACACAGTTAGCCCGGCTTGAACCTTTCCGCCCTGCAAATTGCATCGATAAGCAAAAAACCCACAAATGACTAGGCCTTGTGATAGGTACTTGCATATATACCCCCCATTTCAATTCTATTCTCTCTTCTCTCCACCCCATCAACACCTACTCATCAACTCTTCACAAACAAGCACTAAGGCAAGTTTCCATCGCCACCAGCGAATACTATACCGTTGCTACACTGTATAGCACTTATCACCTTATCATAATCAGTCAAATACACTCCACCTGTCTTTGATTTCACTCGCCACTATGCAAATCTTTGTCAAAACTTTGACCGGAAAGACGATCACTTTGGAGGTTGAATCCTCCGATACCATTGACAACGTCAAGGCCAAGATTCAAGACAAGGAAGGTATCCCACCAGACCAACAACGTCTTATCTTTGCTGGTAAACAACTAGAAGATGGACGTACTTTGGCCGATTACAATATCCAAAAAGAAAGCACTCTCCATCTCGTCTTGAGATTGCGCGGTGGTATGCAAATCTTTGTCAAAACATTGACAGGAAAGACAATCACCTTGGAAGTAGAATCATCTGATACAATCGATAACGTCAAAGCCAAGATTCAGGATAAGGAGGGTATCCCACCAGACCAACAACGTTTGATCTTTGCCGGTAAGCAACTGGAAGATGGACGCACCTTGGCCGATTACAATATCCAAAAGGAAAGCACTCTCCATCTTGTTTTGCGCTTGCGTGGCGGAGGAAAACAAAGATGCAAGAACGGCAAAGAGACAGACGCACAGTGTAAAGAAGCAGCAATGAAGTTGGCAGGAGAATGCCCTCATTGCCACTTGGCCTTCTGTGCAAAACACAGATTGCCAGAAGCACACACATGTGCTTACAATAGTACGATCAGACAAGATGCATTCATGGCAAACAAGAAGAAGCTTGAATCTGAACGTACTCAAGCCGATCATGGTTTGGCCCGTTAATGGCATGCTCGAGTTTATTGCTCCATCTATACTCTCCACTCGATTCCCCTGCATTTCCCCATTTTTGCTGCAATGACAGCGATCAATTTACCCAGTTTCTCAGCATAGTTTCGTTTCTGTAATAGCATACATATATTTTATACATCTGCAATCGAGTATAAAGTTCACTGATAAACCTTTGTGTGATGATCGAAATAGTGGATTGATTATGTGCGGAAGTAGCATACGTTGAATGAAATTGAAGGCACATGAGGAGTGTGTTTTGTGTAGTGGCGGCATACGACAGCCTATTGCCTCCACAGACAGTACATGATACAAAACTTCTTCTTCTGCCATCATTTGCGGGATTGTACGACACTATATGCGATTCGATGTTCGATTGAAGCATTTAATGGACCGCATCATGTCTAAAGTAAGCAGTCAAGCGTCTTCTTCGTCTTCCTCGCCATGGGGACCAACACAAGTTGGAGCTCCAACATTGAACAGCGTTGCTCGTATCCTACAAGAAGACAGTACAAACCCAATCAAAAATATTGTAATCATGGCAGGAGCCGGAATTTCAACAGCGAGTGGAATACCAGATTTCCGATCACCAAAGACTGGCTTGTATGCAAACCTAAAAAAGTACAATTTACCTTATCCTGAAGCGATCTTTGATATAGATTATTTTCAAGATAAACCTCAACCGTTTTATACCCTTTCAAAAGAAATGTGGCCAAGTCATTTCAAACCTACGTTAACGCACTCTTTCTTTAAGTTGTTGGACGACAAGAAGAAACTACTGAGAGTGTTCACCCAGAATATCGATACATTGGAACGATTGGCTGGCCTTTCGGAAGATCGGATCGTAGAAGCACATGGATCGTTTGCACAATCGAGATGTATTAGATGCAAAAAAGAAGTAGAACAAGATTGGATACGGGACAAAGTCATGGCAGGTGAAGTAGCATACTGTCCACATTCATCCTGTCAAAGACTTCAAACGAAAAGTTCAAATCGGAACGCATGTCTCGTTAAACCGGATATCGTCTTTTTCGGCGAAGGACTACCGGATAAATTCTTTCAGTCTCTAAACGATCTGAAAAAGGCAGACTTGCTCATCGTTGTTGGTACGAGTCTACAAGTTCACCCTTTCGCTTCACTCGTCAATCATGTCAAGCCAAATTGCCCGAGAGTTCTGCTCAATTTAGAGCGGGTAGGCGAAATTGCCTCTTACGGCCAAAAGGGTTCCGGTATGCGTGGACTGATGAACGAAGACGGATTCGATTTTGAAGGATGGACATTACCTAGCAGTAAAGGCAAGGAGCACATCAGAGATGTATTTTGGGAAGGTAAATGTGACGAGGGTGTACTTCAACTGGCCAAGGAACTAGGTTGGGAAGATGAACTGCGTGATTTGCACAAGAAGACCTGCAATCAGCTTGATCTTGATAATGGCACGATATCGGAACAGAATGATAAAACACTCAAAAAAGCAGAAGCGGAAGCCGATAAAGTTGCAAATGAACTTACTGAACAAATTGCTAAATTGGACGTATCGCAATCAAAGGAAGAAGAACAGTCTGAAATAAAACAAACTTCACAAATTCCAGCCGAATCGAAAGGGAAAAACGGACCGTCTTCACTTTAAAATCACCGGAAAGGAGCGGCGCTTGTCCATTTAAACATTCCACATCAGCCCACAATCGGTCTTGGTATTGAAATGACGACAAGTGTATGCCCCCTAGAGATCGGGTGCGATATGAACAGTGTCCCTCTTCGATACCCACGCCGCAAGTTCATTTAATTTTGCTGCCCTGACTGTCTTGCAAACAAAGGGCGACAAGCGAATTAGGAGCGGCTCCTTCATCTCCGTATTTGAGAGAACGTAATTGCCGTCTTGATTTACGTAGCTGAGTTCGGAAGCAAAAGTCCTAAAAGAAAACGCTGGAAATTGCTTATCGGACATTCCATCATCTCGTCCATCATCCCCTCAACACTTTCCAATATTCAAAGATGACATCCTTCAAGCTTTTCAGTGCTGTCTTGACGATCGCAAGTTATTTGGCCAGCTCTAGTGCTTTCCCAACAACTTTACAGCCAAGATCCGATTATGGCCTGGGCCAATGCATTCTCAATACCATTCCAGTGTCATCCTTGCCTAAAGCTATCGAGTCTGTCTCTCAAAATGTATTCGCATCATCCAACGGAGGCAATGGAGGTGGTAAACCGTATGCAGGCTACTTTTTCATCTTTTTCAAAGATGATACCGAACAAGTCAATGCGGGCTTGAGTATCGGCAACAATGCGCTCAACTACACGTTGTACAACGGTGGCGAAAAACCTATCTTGACGTCCAACGTTGGCTCAAAGCATACTCGTGATCCTTACTTGGTTCGTGCACCTGATCACAGCAAGAATTGGATCATTGCAACGGATAACAGTCTTCGTGCAAAAGATATTGATGCAGTTCGAAATGCAAGTAGAAAGATTACAATTTATGAAAGTCAAGGTGCATCATTGACAAAATGGAATCCTGCCCGTCTTTCACCTGATTTGGCTGGTTCTTGGTCTGGTGGCGTTTCAGCTCCAGAAGCATATTGGTTGGAAGATAAAAAGACATTTATGGTCATCTTTGGCAGTAATTCTTTCAACGCTTCTGACGTTGATCACAAAGGCGAACCGGGCAAATCGGAAATCTATTACACATTAACAACCGATTTCCAAACATTCACCGAAGCAAAACCTTACTACGTCATCCCTGATGGTGGCTTGACGGATATGACGATTGCTTCTTTGGGCAAGCAAGGTTCGTATGTTCGTTTCTTCCGTGATGATACAAATGGAGCTTTGAAAGTTCGTGGTCAAATTACTTCGGACGGCGTCTTTGGCACATGGAAAGATATTGGAAACAGTACATCTTACGTTTCGGACAACAATGATGCCAATGGCGGTCCTTTGATCTTTAAGGACAACCTCGATCATGATTTATGGCACATTTGGATTGATTATTTCACCGGTGGTTATAAACCATTTGAAACTGAAGATATCACAAAGAGCTCTTATAAGGTATCCGACGCACCTTCTTTCCCCAAAGATCTCAAGCAAGGTGCAGTCATTCCAGTTACGTGCGCCGAGTACAATGAACTCATCCATGCTTGGTAGGCAGCAGCGTTGCTCAGCTCCATCCCACTTTATATATGAGTACATTCGCATTCCATTAATGCTATCATGACTGAACAGTATGAAAGACGGTATAAAAAGAGTGTGTGTATGTGTGTGTGTATTATAGTACAATAGCATCTGCAGCGAAGCTATATGAGTGAGAAGGAAGAAACATGATTGAAGTGTATTGCTGGAAGATCAAAAGTTAATTACGACCGCAGCGATTGCCAATCCAAGTCCAGCAAAAGCAATGAAACAAGCAATGATTGCCATAACGCGATTCATGATGACATACCTGTCCAAGTTTGAACAGTCGAACATCTTTGTTGCTACCTGAACGGTGATCGATTCATCTTCTGATGGATTGTATTCTTTTTCCTTCTCTTGTTGTCGTTTTAGAGCTCCTCCCATTCCTTTGCCTTTGCGTGTTTGCTTGCGCATTGCTTCCATCAAAGTTGAATTACGGAATTTGTTCATGAAAAGATTATCGTCTGGCCACAACATTTGAGAGAATCGATTTCTGCGTGTTTGCAAATCTTCTTCGCTATGCAAGATGATTGAACCTGTTTCGGGTTGATTGTCCCAATCTTCACGATACCAACCAGCGCGAGAGATTCGTCCAGAATTGTAAGGATTATCAGATCCACTCGATCTTCCCAATGAATCATCATCTTCAACACGAGCAGGCTCTTGAGCAGGACGGAAAGATTTTGCATGATCGATAAAGAATAAGCCATCATGGTCCACAATCCATCCTCCAACAAACCAGAGCCAAGGCATGAACAAGAAACCGGCAAAGAACAAGGTTTGACTCGGTTTGACGTTTTGCAAAGCTTCACCTGTGTAAGAGAAGAAGCTACTTTCTCCATTCGTTGAAGAAGGAGTAAAGATTCCACTTATTCTTCTACGCGATGGTATAGAAGTGGATTGTCTTACTGACATCCTTCTTGCTTTATAGTGAAGATAGTGATTCTCTTGTTCAGCAGAATTTTCGTATTCTTGTTCATTTTGTGGTTCATCATATGATCCTTGCAGAGTGGAAAGATTGCGTAAGAACTGCATTCCAGATCGTGGACGAGAGTAGGCGCTCAATCGTGATTGATGATTTTGATTGCGTTGGGATAATTGATCAACGCTTGGTTCTTCAAATGCGATAGAAACTCCTTTGGCATTGTACTTTGATGCGTGGAAAGAGATCTTCTTTTCCTTTTGAGCATTATTAGCTGACAATTGTTCATCATTGCTCTGAGAAAACTTTTCATCAACAAATCCTTCAGCAATAAATGTTGGTGTGTTTGGCATATTGTCATCCATTGATCTACGATTTGCTCGTCTGCGCAATCCATCATCTTGACTCTCGCTTCTGGTCAACATTGCTTCTACTGCTGCTGAATCTTGATCCATTCCTGGTTCACCTGCATTGGCGAGCATAGTACGCATATTTGCTGCCAAAGCATACAATTCAGAATCACGGGCTCCAGTTTGACTTTGTCTCTTTGGAACGAGCCAAGAAGATCTCTTGTTATGTGAAGATGAATTTGCAATCGTACTGGCATTCCAACTTTTCCTTTTTATATCTTCATTCGTCGCAAATTGTTCTAAATGAGGTGTTTCTCCAGTCGGACTGTCAGCAACTCTAGGGGATTTGATCATATCCAGAATTGCTCGTTCCATTGCATCCTTTGTCTTTGCATCAATAGAATCCATATCAACATGAATGTGACTTTCCTCTCCGCCTGATTTGAGATACTGTATCCGTGAAGCTCTTTTGATATGCTTACTGGATCGTGCTTCAGTGTACATTGCTGCTGCTGGTCGTGTGACCGCTTCATTGGAGAATTTTGCTTGATCAGTAATGACACTTGAAGATGGCATGGAATGATATGCCTCCACCGCAGGACTATCTTCTGCTCGCTTTTTACTGGAAGAACGTTTGATATCCTCTCTCGATGCCGATCTTTTAATGGATGAGCCTCTCGAAGTACCGTCTTGATTCTTTCCGACAAGAGTGAGCGCACGCATAGGTGGAGATTGTGCTGAATTGTTGACATCAAAGGATGATCTTATAGGCGAACGGAAAGCGCTTGTAACGCTCCATAATTTCGAACTCCATCGACCACGAGATTCAGCATTGTTACCTGCTGCTAGGATCTCTTCGATATCCACAACGTTGCTCGGCACGTCTACCCGATGATCAGGTGTTTTGATACCTTCCTTTTCAATAGCAGGAGTTACGTTGATCGCAAACCCATCAAGAGTGGAAGAAGCGCTAGGTGATTTGGTGAATGCTTTGGTGTCCTTTCGATTCTTCGATGAAGATGCTTGCTCATCAATTTCTCCAAGGTCTAAGCCAATAGAATTGTCGTTCGCATGCGAAACTTCAGCTCTGTTCACGGTCAAATTCGAATGACCTTGAGAAGCTTTGGCAAACTTTTCAGGATCTCTTTCACCCAAAAGCGACAAACCAAGACCAAATCCCATATCGGCATTTTCGCCAATAGTGCTAACACGCTTTTTCGACGATTGATCATCCGATTCGAGCAACAATGGACTTTGTGACCATGGACCTTTCTTTGCACGTGTGCCGGTAATATCCGTCAAGTCAAATGAATCTTGTTTCTTGCGTGGAGATGGATCTGTGTTGACAATCATATTCTTCCTTTGTTCTCCCCGTAGACTTTCATCTGTTTCTGTTGAGTTACGACCTTGTATATCATGACCATCTTGCATCTTTGTTGAATCAGAAGGTGCAACAGAATTTGGACGATCGATCGAAAGTGATGATTCTTCACGGATCACTTCACCTGCAATTGATGAGATTGGATTGGGAGTTGTTGCACCGCGTATCATCGATGTAGAATCTGCTTTGAGCTTGCCATCCTGTTCTGTTCGATCTCCAAATAATGTAGAAACGGCCGTCAGAGGCGTTCTACCACCTGTAGAGGAGACACTTGAACGGCCATGCGATTCACCAGCGCCGCCATCAGAGAATAGGGGAGAATGCGGTGTGATGGGTGTCGATTTTTGGGTAAGCAATGGGCTTGCATCGGAAGGCTGAGAACCAGCCGTACCAGGTGCAGCGGTTGTCTCGATACGCGGTACGACAGGAACATGATCAGCTGGAAACAGTAATCCAAGCACATTTTGCGCGGATGGAGAAGGCGCATGATCGCTTGAGAATGCACCGTGACCGGCTGAGGACTCTGCCTCTTGGGTACCGGCAGTCTTAAATGAGACTGGCATTGAATGATTACTACTTCCAATACTCTCTCTTGCGCTCAATTGACGCGATCTCCTTCCTTTGCTTGCGGTCGTCTCATGGGATTCGTTGGTATGATAATAGGATGAAGTTGTATTACTTATACGTTTATCAGAATCCGTTGAATGTCCATAACTCTTACTGTGAACGTCTTCTGATTTACCATCATAAAATAGTGTATTTTCTTCAGCCCGCACGATCTGAGCGTTATTTGCCTTTTGATTTGATCCGAATGGCACTTTATGTCCTAATCTATTTGATGAATCTGCAAAGACGTTCTTTTTTGGCGAACTGTGCTCGGGTTTAGGTACCTTTTTCCGCTTTCCAGGCGATTTTGTGCTTAGTGATGTTTGTGAAACATTTTGACGCTTGGACGCTGCCATTCGTTGTTGTTGAATCAAATTTGTCATTGCTGCGTTATTGGATTCTGCCGCAGGGGTGATACTATCCAGCGTCGATAATATTCCGGCGTCATTTGCACGTCTTGTCGCGCTGATCGGTACGATCGTTAATGGCTCATCATCATAATTTGTTTGGATTGTAGGACTGTCAGGGCTGAATTGAGAAGCTAGATCACGTCCGGTCTCTACACTTTCCCTCTTGCGGCCCAATGATAAAGGTGTAGGTGGCTTTTTACGTTGACGTGATCCCCAGTCGGTCGAAGACATTCCTCGTGGAATTGGAGTTGTATTCTTTTCGCCGTCGATCGTGTCACGTCTTGGAGGTGTACTGGGCGTCGGAAGGTTCTCCTTTTCCAATTGGATATCCTTTGACTTTTTCCCTCCTTCCATCTTACTGACAAAATCAAAGCTCAAATCCAAATCAACATCCCCACTTTCCGATGGCTGTAAATCCTTTTTGTTGGCTAACATTTGTTTTTGAACATCTGTTGCACGTATTACCGCTGCAGCAGCAGTTGCTGGAATATGATATTTTCTGCCATCTTTTGCTTCAACTTCAACCGTGTCTTTATTTGCCACCATACTACTACCTGTTGCCTTTCCTTTTCCCATCCATGCTCCTGCTCCGCTTCCGCTACTCTGAGCACTCTTGTGACCTTTTATTTGTTTTCCCTCTGCATCATATCTGGCAAAGCTTGCCTTTCGTCCGACTGGTTTTTCCATGTCGATTTCGTTGATGAGGGGCTAGGATTTGATGTTTAAAATCTGTGTCGAATCGTTTTAAGTGAATGTGAAGTGATATAAAGAATGTCGAATAATAAAAAGAAGGTGAATCTGATGATTTGCGTTTTACGTGTAGCAATCGTTTGTTTGTGTTTGTTAATACATAGCGATGTACAAAAGCGAATCTGAATAAGAAGTCGATAAGTTGATAGCGATCAAAGAAAAAGAATGTGAAATAGCGAGTCGATTCGGGTCGTAAAAAGGGGAAAGAAGGGGCAGAGATGGTCACGAAAGTGTGATCGTGATTGGGATGATGGTGACAACTGCTGCCATTACAAACACTGTTAGGCGTATGATTGACTGAGAATCGAGAAATCTTTAGCCATTTACGTGTGTCTGCATCTAGTCATTGTTTGAATACATACTCAATCTGTACAGTTAATGCATACATTCATACCTGTTCATCTCATGTTTCTATACGCAGATCACATGTCGGATCCTGAATTGGTGCATGCCAATGATGCTGTAAAGCGTAAGATTGACGCCAAGAAGCCCAATTGTATGCATTGTATTGCATCTTGTCTAACCTGATTAGAGAGAGAGATGTGTGCATATGATGATGAGAGTATAAACCGACGGGTGTATTTAATCATCATGTCAATGTTCCGCAAGCCACAAGAGTTGATTTACATGCTGCAATTGATGTGCTTTTTTGCCTGCATTCCACACAAGGCCTACACAACACACAGTTCACAGTGTTGTTTTCTCTTTAGCTGCATACATTTTACACGCGTTTTCTTACGCGTTCAGGAACTTCAATTCATCAACACCACTATTAGCCTCTCTAAATGCCAGGGATTAGTCTTTGGCATGTATTTCGCATGGCATGGCTAAAATCTCCGCAACCATCACCACCATCATTTCTTCTATTGTTATCACATCTGAGATGATGCACGTGAATTGTTTGACCTTACTCTTCTGTCTGTTGCTGATGTAAGCTGAAAGATAGACCGGTGGCCGCATAAAATGCATAAACAAGAACAGAGCCAAGATTACCGAACTTTCCCCACGCGTATGAGTATGTGCGTACGGTTGTCCGAACTGAAATTATATCGGCAATCTCTGTAAATTCCGATTTTGACATTCACCGGTCAGACATTTAGGAAGGGAAATGAATTGATCAAGACTCTCTACCCATCATTCTATCCTTCTCAAGTGTATTATCACCTACACATTCTATCATGTCTGCTTCAGAGCCACTGTTCTTGGGCTTAGATGCCTCAACACAAGCTTTGAAAGCTTCTCTATTACGATCGGATTTAGGCGTTGAAGGAGAAGCAGAAGTACGATTCGATCGTGATCTTTCTCATTATGGTACAAAAGGTGGAACATTGCTAGGAGAAGAGGGTAGTGGAATTGTCTATTCACCTGTCATGATCGTAGTGGAAGCTTTGGATTTGCTTATGGAACGTATCAAACAGGCTAAATGGCCCGTCAATCGAATTCGTGGAATAAGCGCTGCCGGTCAACAACATGCTTCGGTGTATTGGTCAAAAGAAGCGAAAGATATTCTAGCAGATATCAAAACTGATCTACCGTTGGCACAACAATTCAAAAATGCATTCTCGAGGAATGAGATACCCAATTGGCAAGATAGTAGCACTTTGAAAGAATGTGCCGAATTGCAAGAAAAGATTGGAGGTGAAGAACGATTAGCAAGAATCACAGGATCAAAAGCCCATGCTAGATTTACTGGACCACAGATCATGCGATTCCGTAAAACGGATCCAAAAGCATACGAAAATACTTGGAGAATATCTCTTGTGAGCAGCTTCATGACTACAATCTTGTGTTTGGACGGCGAAGTGAAAGGAATCGATGAAAGTGATGCATGTGGAATGAATATCTGGGATATGAGCTCATCGCAAAGAGGTTGGTCACAGAGCATCTTGGAAATAATTGCAGGTCAAGGCAAAGAAGGCGGAGATGCATTAGCCGAAAAGCTTGGAAAGGTAGAAAGCGATGGTGGTCGAGTTGTTGGACAGGTGGGAAATTGGTTCGTGCAGAGGTATGGATTCTCGCCTGAATGCGTCGTTTGTCCAGGCACAGGTGATAATCCAGCCACATTCTTATCATTCACTCTACGTGAACGTGAAGCATTGCTATCACTTGGAACATCTGATACCGTCCTTGTCTCAACGTCCAACTATAATCCTGATCCGGAATTCCATGCATTCTTTCATCCTGCTCAAATTGTACCGCCAAGCAAAGATGATCCCAAGGAGTCTTTATCCTCTTCACTCAAAGGAGCAGATCATCCGATGCGCTATTTCAATATGCTAGTGTACAAGAATGGTTCATTAGCACGAGAATTTATTCGGGATCAATACTTTGAATCTTCTTGGGATCTCTTCAATCAAGCGGTTCAAACCAGAAGACCAAAGAATGCGACCAATTTGCCAAGCAAGACTGGATTTTGGTGGTTGAAACCCGACATTATTCCCACTAATGCAGAAGGTGTGTTCAAGTATGAGACAGATCGATCAAAAGGTACCTCAGAACTAGTAAAAGAATTTCAACAAAAAGACGAAAATGCAATTGCCATGTTGGAATCGCAATTTCTCAATTATCGTAGTCGATCAAGCGCTATTCTGAACGATGAAAAGAGTGGAGCAGGAAATAAATCACTTGCTAGAGCATTCGCAACCGGTGGTGCAGCTGCAAATCCGGTCATTTGCGAAGTGATGGCAGATGTACTCGGTTGTGATGTTTGCAAACCTGTTGATTATGATCAAAAGACAAAAGCATGGAAAAATGCTCATTTTAACGCTTGTAGCGTTGCGGCTGCTTATAAAGCAGCGTGGTCTTTTTCTCGACATTCAGCTTCTTCCTCCAAACAGAAATGGGAAGAATATGATGATTTCGTCAAACAAGCAGCAGAAAGCCGAAAAGCAAAGAGAGAGCAAGGGTCAACGACAAATACACTATCCGATCAAAGTAATTTCAAAGCAGATGAGATTGTAGAAGAAGGTATCGCAATCGTAGCCAGGCCAGACGGACAAAGAACACAAGCATATCGTGACAGTGTTGAGTGGTGGGCTGAATTAGAGACAAAGGCATTGCAACAAAGTCGCAAAGAAGCTAAAAATGTATGAAAATGATGTTACAAAATGTTATGAATACAATATATACAAAAAGCAAGGGAAAAAAATGGGCATCAAAAGTAGTTTCTTCTTTTTGTGATTGGAATTGAACGACAACCTGTCAATTCTATGCGTTCAAGGTACGGATTGTTTTGTACCAAATTATCGACCGATTCACTGTCGATATGAGAATTGCTCAGATTCATGGATCGTAAGCCTCCAGAAACTCCGAACAATGGCCATTCGCATGGCTCCGGCAAACGACAGCCTGAAAGGTTGAGATGCTGAACATCAAAGGTGCAGCATATAATATGTTTTAGTACGGCTCCATATCCAGGGAGCTTTGAGAAATTTCTTTCCATGTAGTCCACAAGCCACAATCGGCCCTTCTCAGGAGGTATTGTACGAAATATCATTCCACTAAGATTGAGGGATCGTATGACTTTATCGTTGATTGGTCGTTCTGCCGTGCATTCAGCTGGATCTGGAGGATTGCAAATTTGTCTAAGATTGACTTGGTGAATTGGAGTGCTGAGCGAACTCGGACAAGCGAAACTGATGCTGTCCATAACGTAATCTTGATCCGGTTGATAGTCTTTATGGACCTGTCTCTCCAGCGCACGTAGAGCAACAGCTTGGAATAACGCTTCAACAAGTCTAGGATACATCGTACTAGACGGAAGAATCGATAAATGATCCAGATTTACCTTTCGCAATCGTTTGCAGCGAGCAACTGATTCCACAAATTGCATGGCTGAAACGACAGGTATGCTCAAGTGTGAAAGGTTAATCTTTTCCAATGTCAGATTGCCTGGTGAAGCATAATCTACCAACAAGTCTGACTTTTGAGTCTTACGTTCCTCATATCCCAAAAGCATCAACAAAAGCTCTATACTTCCTGTACCTCCAACACGTGTGCTTCCAATATCGAGAGATTTAATTTGTTTTCCACAATGTTGTAATAATGCTCCTAGACCTTGAATACCTATCTCCGTTCCGTGTAACTTTAATCTTTCAAGCTTTCTAAGTGGCACCATTCCTTCGGCATTCGTGACGACACGAGTCATCATCGCTTTGACTGAAGAATCAGAAAGTCCTTTGACATGAGCAATTTTCAAAACTTCAAGATTAGGTGCATCTCGTATAAGATGTTCAACGCCAGTGAGACCAATACTTGTCCAATTGAAATTCACCTTGCGTAGTGTTTGTCCACAAGTTTCCACCAATTTGGCAACTGCTTCAGGGTATATGTTCACGCATCCTCTCAGACATACGTTCTCCAGATTCCGGGTATGCTTGAAAAGATTAAGAATCTGGTCTGTTTTTAACCGAGTGAATGCTTGCAAATGGAGAGTACGAAGCGTACTGACAGCATTATCTGGAATAGCTCTCTTGATCGTATTGCTAGGCAGCAAAGGATTTTCATAGATCAATTCTTGCCAAACCTTGATCATATCCCGCTCACTGATACCCTTCACGATGGCGAGAACACGGAATAGCTTCGATCTGGAAACAACTTCACTACTCAGGAAGAGATGTGTCATCACATCATAGTTTAGCAATTGCGGAGCTTTTCTCTCCAGCTGTTCTTGTAAAGCTACTGCGATTGGAGCAGGAAGCAATCTCAGCAATTCCATATCCCTCTCCTTTCGGCTTTCGTCAAATTCAGCATTCCTTTTGTTGGCTGGCGTATCGCTTTTCCTGGCAATTCTTTTTGGCTGTGTCTTAGCCTTTTTTGTCGGTCTTCTGCTTTCCTCGTCACTGTCGGGCACAAAATCTTTGTCATTTTCCTCATCGTATCCGCCTACTTCGATGCCCAAAAGACCTCTTGATGATGTAGATCCGATCTCTTTCATGGCACCATTGGCAATCGTATTGTCTTTCAAATTGAATCTGACTGGAAGTATGTGCGACCCAAATGATTCTGTAATGATATTCAGACACATTTTGCCCAAAGTAGGAAGCTTGAATGAGCTTCCATCACGTCTGGCTTGCATATTAAGAGGCAATTGACGAATACTTTCTGTACCGGTATTGGTGGAGGGAGCATATATCTCTACTACTCGATTGGCAAATTGTCGTGCGATTTCATCATCCTTGACGAAATCTCCGCCAAAATTTGGAGCTTGCTTTTTCAGAGCTTGACGATATCGAGCGGAAGGCTGAGAGCGAGATCTTGAAGAGGACCCTCGGCCATTGCCTCTACCTGATTGTGAAGGTGAGCCTGACGTATTTCGAATCACAGTTCTAACCTGCACTCCACGGCCACGACGACTTGGAGATTGAGGTGGCGTTCTTGATGACGACATCTTTTGTCAAGAGTCATGGCAGACCCGTGCCAGATGTTGTTGTGGTTCAAGAAGAATGAATGTCAGTGGCTAATCATCCCCACGAAAGGCTTAATATTGCTGCTGAGTTTATGACTAAGCTGGGAAGCTTTAATTGAACGGACTTTAGCGTCGGCGCGTATGTTAAAAAGAACAACACATTAATAGAGAGACACTCAATGCTTAAGCGTGTGTGTGTCTGTGTGTGTTCGTGTTTGTTTTCACGAGTTACTTCTCAAATCCGAACATCATCAATCAACGACCACTGACACTCAAATCAAGCGCATATCAACATGAGTTCTCGACAAGAATTGATCCAATGGGTCAACGATTTACTGCTTCTCAGTTATACAAAGGTGGAACAATTAGGTGCAGGCGCAGCTTATGCTCAAATTATTGACTCCATCTATGGAAATGTGCCAATGTCAAAGCTAAACTTTGCCGCAAAACAGGAATACGAATATTTGGTAAATTACAAAGTTCTACAAGAGACATTCAAGCGGAATAAAATCGACAAGGTGAGTATTTGTGTATGTCCTGGTAGATCTGTTGCTTACTCGTTCTTCTATTTCTCAGCCAATCCCAGTAGATAAGTTGACTAAATGCAAAATGCAAGACAATCTAGAATTCTTACAATGGATCAAAAAGTTTTGGGATCAAAATTACCCTGGACATGAATACGATCCGGAAGGAAGACGGAGAGGACAAGGAGTTGCACCTCCTCCGATTCATGGAAGTACAGCCAGAACAACGGCTTCTGCCGCTGCTTCTTCCGCCGCTTCTGCACCAAGAAGGGCACCCGTTGCTACCACTGCTCCTGCCAGAACTAAGGCTGCACCTGCCGTTGGAACGACTGCTCGTGTAGCAAGAACAGCAGCAGGTACAACAGCCGCCAGCCGAAACAATGCTGCAAACGCTCAACCTGGTCTGTCTGATGAAGCAATTATGGCATTAACAACTGAAATGGACGATCTCAAAGTTGAAGTTCAAAGCTTCGAACGGGAAAGAGACTTTTACTTTAACAAATTGCGTGATATTGAACTTATGGTTCTAGAACGTCTCTCTCTGATTGCAGCGCCAAATGATGATGAAGAATCTTTGGAAGCAGGTGGACCCGAAGAAGTTCTTTTAAAACAAATTCAAGCAGTTTTGTATACCACAGAAGATGGATTCGAAGTTCCAGAAGGACAAGAGGTGAGTAGAAGCTCCTATGAAGAGATGATTAAACAGAATTCTGATCACTGACACTTTTCTTGCCTTTTGTCCTTTAGCCACTCGTTGATGAGGAAGAAGTGTTCTAATTATTGGTACAGTACGGTAGAGATGAACCTTTTTAAAAAATCCTTTGCCCTGTGAAATACCTCCAAATGTGAGATGCAATACACATACCCGATTTGCCTGATATTGAAATAGGAAGAAAATTAAATGAACTTTCTATGAATTGTTGATCCCACTTAAATGAAGAAGAATTCATTGTTCTTGATTATGGCGGCGCTACACGCTGCTCGCGCTTTAGGAGCACTTAGCCTAAAAATTTAAGCTCGGGTCCTTCGCGAAGAAATGTCATTCACAAAAAGGTGTCAAGAACTCCCATCACCATTACGCACTTTCAAGGCTTAGGATTTGTACCATACTATGTCAAGGTAAATTGAGCCTGCTTACCGAATTGTGGAGAAATGTGGACGGCTTTGTGTTGCGGATCACTGGGTGTGAGGAATGCAAATATCTATGGAATCGCTTTACGTAGATCTCGAATCGATTCTCATCAAGTGGTCAAGGGGATGCACGGGACTCTGATTAATGCACATCTTCAAAGGTCTTGCATACGACTGCTGAGCACCTCAAGTAAAAAGGCAGGTCCCTCGCTGAAAAAAGATAACAAGCAAAACCGGGAGCATTCATACAATCACCAAAACAGTAATGGAGAAGAAGAAGAATATCGAAGAATGAGGAAGCAAAGGATATGGTCTTTCATCAACTTTATCACTTGGGTTCCCGGGTTGATCTGGTTTGTGAGACACGTAGGCAGTGTAGGAGCGATCACAGGTCAAAGTATGAGTCCAACATTGAATCCCATTCCAGGCGATAAAGATTTGGTAATCTTGAACAAATATGTTTCTTCTCAATTTTGGTACAAGACTGGAGATGATTACAAGATTGGAGATGTGGTAATGCTCATTTCACCAAATGATCCAAATTTAATCATCTGCAAACGTATCTTAGCATTGCCAGGCGATATCGTTTCAGTAGATGATCCTGGTCAGTTGGACAGTAGTAGAAAAGGAAAGAAGATTCGAATTCGCATTCCACCTTCGCACGTATGGGTAGAGGGAGATAAAAGTGTTTTGGATGCACAGGCTTCTGATGCAGGACATAATCTTATTCGACCTTCTAGTAGAGATTCAAGAGAATTTGGACCGGTTCCTATCGGTTTGATTACAGCAAGGGTGGATATGATCTTGTGGCCGCCAAGTCGATTTGGAATGATGCCCGATAGACCGAACTTCGATGTTGCAAAGATGCGATTGATGCATGAAGTGAGAAAGGAGCGCACAAAGCACTTCTTACCGGCAAATCAAGGAGGACGATCACATCCCGACGACTCTAGTCTATCCCCTTATGCGATCAGTGAATGGGAATGGTCTACCGATTCACATGGTAGCAAAGGCGTAAGAGGACATTCTGAAAATTTGAAGGAAATGATAGCTGAGGATGATATTGCGACTATTGAGAAAGCCACCCTTTCTCAAGCAGCGGAAAAGAAACGTGCTCGTCAAGAACGAAGGGAAGCCAATCAAAAAGCAGCACAAAGAGCATGGAATCAAATTTCACGTGGAGGACGATTGGGCGATGATGCGATGTCTGCAGAAGAGGATTGAATGATAAATAGATTGTGTACTTTTAGTTGCTTGCATTTTCAGAAGATTACAAATTGTTACAATATTTTGATCGTCGTGAGCATGTATGGTATCTGTCACGCGGGCAGAGAAGTGATTACGAAGATGCAGGCCTACTATTCCACGCGGCGCGTCTTTGTTCAGAAGATCAACCAACACGCGTGAGTATTACTTACTGAAGGGTAAACCCAAAAAAAGCGCGTCAAGCGTGTATGCATGCAAGATTGGTGTTGTTGACCATCCCTATTGGAGGTTTCCCATTACCATATTTATCATACTCCATCATCATAACACAACGGCATAATCCGATCGGAGCCGACAACTAGAAAGAAGCGAAAAGGTACAGATGGTATCGCGTTGGAGAAGTTGATCGATACGACTAATGCTACGACCTCACTTGTAATACATGTACCGAATCAATTGAAGATCTACCTAAACTACCGATAGAAGGATAGCAAGAAGGGGACATAATCACCACTCTGCCTTGCACCTTCTTTCTGCATGGCACTCATGCCTCCGCGTCGATCTGCACGCTTATCCGAAGACAATTTTGGAAATCACCACGATCAACCATTATCCAGTTCGCCAAATGTATTTCAAGATCGAATGCGTGGAGGGAAACAATGGCCGCCAACTTCTACTGCCGTCAAGACGATGGGTAACGGTGGAAAACAAAAAAATACTAGCTCTACCGATGGATCAGCAGCAGGTTCATCATCTACTGCAGCGACAGGAATAGATTCTAGCAAATCAACAATTGCAGATCAAAAACCTCGTAAAGAGAGAAGATGGGAAGAAATTGCAGATGAATCGGAAAATGAAGAAGAGGATGGAGATTTTATGAACGGATTTACGAGACCTATAATTACCGGAAACGCAAAACATGCTGCTTCTATACCCGTTCCAAGGCAGCCTAGAACTACATTTCATGAACAGGCAGGTGATGACGGTTTCATATTCTCCAATGCGAATCCTACTGCTGATGCAAAGGGGAAAGGGAAAGCGTCAGCAGTGGAAGGCGCCAAAGGAGCACCACCAAGACGGAATATGTCATCAAATACCGGAAATGTGGGCGATACATTGAGGACAGCTTCGACTGGAAGTGATCGACGTGTTTCTTCTGGACCGGTAAAAGCAATGAGACGAGTTTCGCTTTTTCGAGATGGTACAGTGGCCGTTCCACATCCCAATATTGCCGACACCGATCTTTATCGACACTGCAGCAGTGATCTCGACCCACGACAAAGGCTTCAGAACCTTGCCATTTGGACACTAGAGAGAAGCTATGCGAAAATCAAAAAGACTTATTCGGCACCATCTACGTCTCGTCATACACTCGATGATACCGTTCGGGGAACGATTGAAAATCTTGTGCAAAACAATCTCTTGCTTGATTGGCCAGGAAGAAGGCGAAGTGAGACATTGGCAAAACAAGGAAAAAGTTCGAAAGACTCTTTACGACCACATCCACGAAACGAAGTGAATGCAAAGGCGGAAGTTCAATTACAGAAACAAATTGACTTGATGGAGAGTGAAATGAAAGCGTGGAAGGAGGCTGAGGGTGAGATGGAGCGACTAGAAGGAGATATACGGTCATTGCAGGAAACACTTTCTAGCTCGAATTCTGAAAAGGATGATTGCAGTGAATTATCAGATTTTCTATCAATGCAAGTTTCATCATCATGCGATCAAAAGGAAGATAATGGTTTGAGTTCAATACGGAAATCATTATCAAATGCAGCAACGTGGCTTCGAACATCCGAATCTTCCGATCCTTCTACATTGACAGCTGCTCAAGCAGGCCTTGCTCGATTGTCGGAAGATCTATTCGTCCGCGATACAGGTGAAAATGTACCTTCCAGACCGGCCAAGAGAAGAAGGACGACATCTCATCGCGGTGAAGATGAATCTGTGCGCTCAGAACCAACACCTCTTCATTTGCAAGGGACTGATGCCGATCCAAGATGGGAAGATGTGGAGTTCAATGCAGATCTCTTAAATTCTCACGCACATTCCTATGCTCAATTGGCAAGACTTTCGGATCGATATACAACTGCAATTTCCGCTCGTGGTGCACAAGCGATCGGAGAATTGATCGGCAGTGAAGATAGATCGTCTACGATCCCGGTACGTGCACGAGAAGGTGAAGCAGAAGGAGCAACTTCTTCCACCTCTTCTTCAATGATTTCTAGAGAAGGTCAAAATACCCTACAAAGAATCTTATCTGGAATCCGTAAACTGGAACGCGGTACAACGTTTACCGAAGAAGATCCTGAGGCAGAACGAAACAATCACTCCGAAGGTAAAGGTGGACCTTCGGCTGGCGATGTTTCAGATGGAGATATCTTGCGTGCTTTTGCCGGTATAAGTCGTGCTCGTCGTTGATTTGCCAGTCTTTATCTCTATCATCGTTTAATTTTCTTGTTTTCTTGTACTTTTACTTTGAGTATGTATGCTTTGCTTGGTATTGCACTTCACATTTGCAATTGAACAAATTTATTGGAATCTTTAGAACAGCATCTTTAAATGAAGGATATTATGCACGTTGAATCACTAAGCAATCGAAATATAGCCTGACAAGCAAAATCATTGAGAAGTGTATGATCATTAGGATATGTACTGATATATGCTACGTGTGGACAATTATGTTGTATGTACAAAGATTGTAAAACCGATTTCCCGCCTGCTTTTTTCTCAATGTTTTTTTTTTCTGTTTTGGTATTGTTTGGTCGACTGGTTGTAATGTTGAGGCCGGATACGCAGTCAAGTGTCCGTGTACGATACAGTTTCTTTCATGTTTTGTACAATTTGATTCTTGTGATGAAATGGAGACCGCGACTTGTTGATTATGAGTAATGTACAAAGTGTGGTGGTATATTTGATTGTGTTTCGTTATTTTTCTTTCGCCCTTTTCTTTGCCATTACCTTTTTTCCCGATTCATTCTGTTAATATACAAAAAGCTCTTGCAATCAAGCAGAGCTGTTACCTTGGCCGCTTGGATGGCCGCTTTCCAAAGCAAGTTCTCTATCGAGCTCGCCATCAGCATCCACGTTTTTCTCTTGATGAACGAATTCGCTATCATCATAACCGTGAATATGAACGTTTTGATGGATGACCGAACTTTGATCAGATTGTCCATCACGTCGATTTTGTTGTGAATCCATCGAGAACGACGTTGAACTATGACCGCCAGATTCAACATCTTCTCCCTCTTTTGCTGACATTTGATTGTCCACCGATGCAGGAATCTCTGGTGAGATAAGATGCGCAATACTGGCTGCATGATGAGCAGTAGCATAGTAAGAAGCATCTAAACGATTCTTATCGATGAAGTTCGTTGGACGTCGTGATGAAGTAGCACCCATTGGCTCAACATTGGTTGGCGAAGTCAAAGCAGCGATATCCAAAGGATTACGTGCACCACGATTCATGTCCCGCGGAACATTCCAACCCGCTTGACTCATCTCGGATACCGGAGAGGACATCATAGAGATATTGGATTGTTGACTTGAAGGATATGACGATGAAGCGTATTGGACAGCATTTCCACCGTTCAACTGCACATTTGGATAAAGTGGTGGGCGAGCAATATGCGCCATACCATTATACACATATGTGTTTGCGTCAATCGGGCGATTCAACAAAGCATGACTGACAGAAGGGTTCATTGGATCATGAAACTCAGTCATTCGGCCATTTCCGATATTGATATTTGTCTGCACGGGTGATTGCTGTGCCATGCTCGTGACAACTGTGTTACTACTTGGAACAGCAGTCGCTTCGATCGGAGTCGAGTGCATGGAATTGGAACTGTGATCGCCACTGCTTTGACCTGCGTTAGTCCATTGACCATCCTTCACATTTTCAGAAGGCGGCAAAAGGGGACGAACGGTAGGATATCTTCCACGGTAAGCCTGTTGAGCCTGCTGAACCATTCTGCGATAGCCTTCATCAAAATTGACAGTGTGCGGATTGAACGTCATCACTGATGCTCGTGGATATGAAAGCTTAGCATTTGTGTTTGAGTTTGCATACGCAGGAACAGTAAGAGCAGCGTTTGCAGTTGGATGTGAATCAAAGTTACCTCCCGGTTGAATTGAACCGTTTACGTTGTCTTCCAAAGAAAAGGCGGAATCCATTGTACTACCATTAGCTGCAGCGGCAGCCATAGCAGCTGATGTTTCCAAGTTTGCCTGTACATTGTCACGGTTATGCGTCAATGAGAATGGCATCATCGGATCATAACGCAGATTGTTGTACATGGCATTGGCTGCTTCTTGTTCGGCACGAGCTTCATGGGCGGCCGGTTGATTGGCAGCTGCTTGCGCTGGGTCAAAAGGTGTCATTGCTGTGTGTACGAGGATTTCGGCTGGTTGCTCTTGCAAGGAATCCTTCTTTTGCATAAGTGTCACATTTGGTACACATCCTCCGCGGTTCATTGCTACATTCAATTTGTGCAAGATATGACCGCTATTGAAGTTCATCACACGACGATGTCTTCTGTTCAGGTGATCGATTCGATTCTTGCAAGATAATCCTGAACGTCCGTTCAAGCGTTCAGTTGCAATTCTTGACCATGCCCTTCCTAATTCGCGAACAGCTTTCAATAAGCTTTCATCCTCTTTTTCCGTCCAAGGATCATGCTTCAGCGTAGGGTCGAGGGAGTCATTCCATCGTTTCCAGCATTGATCTCCCGTTCTTGTTCCAACATCAGAAGCAACCGCTTTCCATCTGAAAGGATTAGCAAGAAAAGATTGTAGAGGTTGACCATGTGCGGAGAAAATATCAGTGGTTTGTTCATTTTCTCCATCTTAGAATGAAAATGATGTGAAAAGAAAAAAGAAAAAATGAAATGTAGCGATACTCACTTGTTGGGACCATACAGCTCGATACTTGCCATCAATCGTTCATCTTCAGCCCGACTCCATCTGCCTTTTCGTAAAACAGCACCAGGCTTTTCACTTTCGGTCAGAAGGGGTTCCATTGATGATCTTGGCGAGGATGAATGCATGTTTGCATGTCTTTCTTCTTGTTCCACCGGGGAGCCTTGACGATATGCGTTATTGAGATCCAGCTCTTCCAAGTCTTTTCTTTGACGTTGAGGAACTGTATGTTGCAAGTAATTTGGCCAAGGAGGTGGAATACCTCTCAACTCTCTCGTCATTGGAACGCTTGATGGGACTGTGTTTGTCCAAAGATATGCTTGTTGTTGCGCAATGGATTGTTGTGAAGTCAGAGAAGGAGAATGTGTCTGATGCTGAGCAGAAGGTGCATGAGATCTAGGCACATTACTTTGACTTTGTTGCAATTGCGTTCGACATGCTTGACGAACAGGAGGATATGGCGCTGCAATAGGAGCATGAATCAAAGGATAAGGTCTTTGTTTCTTTGGCATGTTGATAGGTGGCAACAATGGCAGTTCTCTGTCGTTGACGAGTAAAAGAAGGAAAGCAAGACCGTGTATGCTGTAAAAGAAAGCAGAAATGGTGGTTGTAAAAGAGAAGTAAAAGCAAAAAGCTGAGCTCTCTTAAGTATGTTCTCTTGTTGTTGGTAACAATCTTACTGATGAACTCTTTGTCCATGCAAGATTGAGGTAGGTAAAAGCAGGATTGCGTATAATATCGTATGCGTTAAGCCTACTCCTCCCTGTTTTTTCTCTCTTTTTCCCTTCTTTTATTATTTGACGCCCTCCTTATACGGTGTCTTTATTTCTTCACTCTTTTTGTGTGAAATTGGGATTTTCAGTATGCCCTTTTTCGCATCTGTTGTTTCCTCTTTTCACCGCATTTATTTTCACGAGAAAAAAATACAGAAATTGTCCGTCTTATCCGCATCATTTGAGGAAGAAAAAGACAGCACAGCACAAATTATCCGTTTTTTACAATCACGTTTACCAATGCCCACTCTGATCATGTATTCATTCATGTTCGGCGGTAAGCATTTCACTTTTGTTTCGTCATTCATGATCCGAACGGAATCGGGTCATTGAAAGCAAAGAAAAAGGGGATCCCAAAGTCATGGCAACACATATTCCGTCATTTGCCATTGGCCATGGCTTGTTTGATTGACGGAGAATGAATTGATTTTCTTTCTCCTTTTGTTTTTTGTTGCACAATCTTTTACCTCAGTAAATCCCTTAGCCGTATACAGAAGAAACAAAAGGCACATAAGAAGCAAACCTTAATTAACCGCTTTACTCGGCACAGCATTCAATACACACGTACACATAAAGAAAAAGACGCCCAATCGAAATTAGATGTGTAGAGAAGAGCCGGCTTACTCCGTTTTATTAAGGTTCTGTTTGTCATCAATCCAAAGGGGCGCAAAAGAGAAGGATCGAGGGAGGATGCATACAAAGCGGTCCATCATTCTTTGCCCCCCCCCCGGTTTGAGTGGTTGAAAGATCACGATTGGACTCAGCAAAAATACACTTTTTCCTTATTCGGACCGTTAGTTGTAGGAAGTTGAGGCGATTAATGCCCCCGTGGATGTGGCGTGGCCAAAAAAAGTTGATGAACAACAGTGTGAAAAACAAAAAGGACACCCTTTCTTCTTTCTTAACAAAGGGGAGGCCAGTGTAAGTCGCCGTTACATCACCATTATTGGATGGAAAGAGTAAAACAGACACGGAGCGGCCAGCATTAAAGTGGGGGATTCGTACGAATCGGGGCGTGTGATGGCCTAGACCTTTTTTTGGAAAGTAGGCCGCCGTTCAATCTTTAATGCATCACAAAAATGCTGTCCTGGGCACGATCAAAGAGATCAAATTGTAAGAATATATTATAATACATCATTACACTGATAGTACAGGCCAACTGCAATCAAATCAATAAACGTTCAATCTGTAAAAAGGCAGAAGAAGAGAGTGTCAGCACAAAATGAACAAAAGAATCCGAAACCATACGTAATGCAGTACTTACAGCTGTCTTTACAGTTTGAATTTGACTTTGCAATTCACGTGCTTCGTTTGTTGTCACACTGGCGGCCACGACGGGACGTGAAACACCGCAAGCACGGCCAAGGGCAGTCTTTGATGGAACGAAAACGTATGGAACGTTCTTGTCTTCACAAAGCAAAGGCAAATGCAAAACGATTTCAATCGGTTCAACATCTGCTGTCATGACGATGAATTCGGCAATACCTCTGTTGAGAGTCTTTGTTGCTTCGTTTGCACCTTTTTTGAGTTGCTTGTAGTGGGATGCTTGTTGAATCAAATCCAAGATTTGATTGGTCAATCCGGCATCGGCCAAAGGGAATGCTTTTGGGTTGGGAGCAGACATGGTGGTATCTTGGGAATTGGTGAGAAATGAGTTGGATATGTGAATAAAATGACCTCACACGAATCGACGGATCACGGGTCAATAATGATCGAATGGATGATAGTCACGATAACAGAAACGCGCACCATGTCTGAATGTCAAAGATTCCATTTCTTAGAAAAAAAACTCACTTTAAATAATACACGTGCGCAGGCGTACAGAAAATAAACAATTACGTAATCGACTGCTCATTAACAACGAACACACCCATCGCCAGGCCGGGAGAATGATTGAGCGTGTGATTGGCACGCGTATTGAATCTTCCTTTTCTCTTCCTTCACCACACAAGTCATTGCATCTTCTTTCCTGTTGATCTGATATCTCCCACTTTTGTGAGATCCTCTGTCATCAGGAAGAAGAGTAAAGATGTATCTCGCCCGTGTTTTGCCTGTGCCGGTAGGCGATGAAGTGGTGGAATTATCCTTGGACGATCTTCCGAGCGATATTGAAGATTATGTTCAAGTTTTACGAGAAGAACGTTGTTCGGCATCTTTTTGGTTGAAATTGGCGAGCGAATGTGGTGCACGCAAAAGATTACAAGATTGTGAAGCTGTCTTGCTAAGTGCAATTCAAACTTTGACAACCGTTCCTCCGCCAGATATGCATCATTATCGAAGTCAACAAGCTATCGCAGAAGAAATTGCTCCTTTTCATGCAATGCTTTCTACATTGCAATTGGGAAAGGCAAGACAGTTACCAAAGATGCTCATCAGAGATGCTAAATATCAAAACCTCACCCTCAGCCAACCAGGCATCCAACCAAAAGATCAATGGATCTCAGCTGCAGCAATGCATTCCAATGCGATCGCCTTTCCGCCTCCCCCTACAAAAGGATCCGATCCAAGCCGACAACCAGTCTCACTTCGCTCCAATATGTCCTTGGGACGTGCAATCTATTTGCTCGCCGCAGGTAAAACGGATGATGCATTAAAGACTTTTGACGTCGTTCTTCAACGACAAAGTCGCAATCCAATTGCTCTGCTGGGAAAAGCATGCTGTCTTCTTCGTAAAAGGACATACGTGGCTTCTTTGAAATTGTATCAAGAAGTTTTGGCAATCAGTATTGCTCAAACAGCATCGGCAGCCGGAGAATCTGCCATCGTTGGACCGGATGGAGAATTGGTGGAAAGTCAAGCACACAAATGGCTTGGCCCGGATCCTCGTATCGGAATAGGTCTATGTTTGCACGGAATGGGTCGTATCAACGAAGCACAAAGAGCATGGGCTCGTGCGGCTGTTGTCAATCCGTCAAATCCTTCTTCTCACTTACTCTTGGGCTTGTCAAAAACAAACATGGCAAAGCAAATGTCCGCCATTGATGCAGCAACTTTGGCAAGTTATGATGGCTCAGAATCTGCCGCTCGTGCTGCTCTTTACAAGGAGGGTATCGCACACATACAGACATCATGGAAGCTGGATAACAAATCAGCAATGGCAGCAGCTGCTCTGGCTGAGCATTTCTGTGTTCGTGCTACAGATTTGGGCATGACAGACAAGGTAAAGGCTGAGCAAGAATTCGAACGAGCTCTCAAATTGGCCGAACATGCTATCCAGTATGCAGACAACTTAGCTGCCGTCAATCAAGCCAGATTGACATTTGCACGTACGGCACATCTGTATAGCTATTTGGACGAGACCAGTACGGCAACCATTGAATTGAGAGCGCAAGCACAAAGATATTATTCTCGAGTAGCAGAAGATCTGGGACGCACTACATCCAATCTCGACTCGACATCATTGAATCAAGGACATGCTTTGGCCGTATTGGGTCTGACACAATTACAAGCTTCGCGTGGTGAAATTTTAGGTGCAATGAATACGGCTGAGACTATTCTTGCCAGACCTGCTTCCGTTTCTTCGGCTTGCATAGAGTTATCTCTCTTTGCTGCATCCTTGCGAGCTCACTCTCACCCCGGTGCCACTGCTGTAGAACGCATTTCAGACCGACAAAGGGCTCGCTTGATCCTTGAGCGTACGATGCGCAGTATTGGAGCATGTGCTCTGTTGAGCGGTGTTGAAGATGACCTAGATGACGGTCTCAAAGTGGTGGACGAATTGATCTCTCAAACAGAAGGTACGACTCCTTCTAGTGCCACTGAAGCCGCAGATCTTGCATTTGCTCGAACAGCGTTGGCAAAGGAGAATCTGGGTATGGAATCACTTCGAGATCTTGCAAGATTAGCGGAAGATGAATCGAATTTCATTCAATTGGCTGATCTGTTCCGGGATGTAAACAGTGGAACTCCAGACTTCCTTCGCTCTGCGGGCGCTCTACTCTCGGCACTCAAAGCCATTCGTCGACGTAAGCAAGATGTCGGTCAAGATGGCTTGGAATCCGCTGTTGACGCTGGGGAAAGAGAAAGCTTAGCTTTACGGTTACGGGCAAATTTGGGTGCAACATTGGCAATTCGAGGAATTGAATATCTTGGCGAAGACCCCTCTTACATTACCAATGCAATCACACAATTGCAAGAAACTCTCAATTTGGCAGCCAAAGCCGTCTCCACGAACAATCTTGATGCTGAGAAAACTGTCACTCTGTTCAACTTGGGTCGTACATTGGAAGCTTCTCTAAATTTGGAAGATGCTCAAAAGGCATACGAGGCAGTTCTGGCAACACATCCAGAGTACGTGGACGCAAAAGTGCGTCTAGCATTATTAACAGTTTGCAAACCTCAAGCAAGAGGTAATCGTGAGGCTACCCATTTAGGCAATACATTGCTCAAAGAAGCTTTATCGTCCGATCCAGGAAATCTGGATACGAGGAGTGCTTATGTTTGCTTCCTTGCAGGAGATTTGCCTGCAAGTCCAAACCCACCTCAATGGAACGGTATCAAAGAAACAATTGCACAAGTATTCATGGGACCGAAATCGGAACAAGCAGTTCGAATTTTTGGCTCTGAAGAAGTTGCAAAGCGTGTGGGTGATGAAGCCAGACATGATGCTTTTACATTGGCATCTTTGGCATGGGCTTACTACAACCTAGGACACAGCGTTCAATCCGGCAAACCAAATTCTGCAGAAGAGAAACAACGTGCCCTTTTACGATGCAGTGATCTGCTGGACAAAGCCTTGACGGAGGACAGCCGTTGTGCATTTGCTGTGCAAGGTATGGCTGTCTTATCGGCGGAAGGTACTTTGATCGATCTTTCATCGCCCGAAGGTGTTCCTGACATTGATTCGAAGCGTAAGCGTGGTGCAGAAGATGCGATCAATATGCTTACTAAACTGCGAGAAGTGAATGATGATGCTAGCGTTCATATTTGCACTGGACATGCGTATATGGTTCGCGAAGATTATGAACGTGCTCTCAGATCGTACGAGTTGGCCGCAAGACGTTCTAGAGTGCAAGAAGTAGACGAAGAAAATGCAGCTGCCTCTTCTTTGCTCTCTGCCAAACCTTCTTTGTTGCAATACCTAGCGCGTGCATCCTTCCTTTTGGGAATGCAAAACAAATCGTACGTAATGCTAAAGTCTTCTATCGAATATCTGCAACAAGCCTTGAAGCAACTACAAGAAAGAGCAAGTTCCGGTGCGATGATGGAAGGAAAGTTTGTTCGATACAATATTGCTGTGACACGACACAAGGTATTGCAAATGTTATTTGATCTTCCTTTGGAAGAGCGTCAATTGAACATCTTACAAGAAGCAGCTGATGGTATTGCTGAAGCGCAAGAAACCTTTAAAGAATTGTTGCCCGACGCTCAAGCGAAGAGGTTGCATCACGTCGGTGCTGAAGTTGTCGAACAGCGCATCTTGTACGGAGAATCATCGTTGAAACGATCGGCACAAAAGAACATCGAAGAACAAAAAGCATACGAAGATCGTGTCCAAAGTGAAAGGGATGCAATCGCTGCTCGTCAACGTGAACGACAAGAAGCCGTTGAACGTGAATTGATGGAACGTGAAGCGCAAAGACGACAACACGCAGAAGAGATTGAAGAAGAACGTAAACGAAGAAATGAAGAAATTCGAGCATGGGAATACGTAGAAGTGGAAGAGGCCAAGAAGAAATCCAGTGGACCACGTTCGACTGCAAACGGATCTCGAAAGAAGAAGAGTAAAGGACGTCGTAAGATGGATGAAGGTGGTAGTGAGATCGAAAGTGAAGATGACGATCGAGGAAGTCTTCTTGATTCGGACGACGGAATGGTCGTGGATGATGATGCTGAAGTTGAACAAGGTGAATTCAGCGATGAAGAAGTATTGGGTAAAGTGGTCGATTCGGGGGAAGAAGATGAAGGCAATGGAGAAGCAAATGGCGATCGACGTGCCAAATTGAGAGATTTAAGTCGAAAACGTGCAGGAGCAAATGGCGAAAAGAAGAAGAAAAGCAGAAGCAGTGCTGCAAAAAGTGAGAAAAGATCTCGCAAATCACGTCCTCGTGTGGGTAGTGAAGATGAAGGTGGTGACGAAGATGGCGATGAAGATAGTCGACCATCAAAGAAGCCAAAGAAAGGACGCATGCGTCGTGCAGTTGAAGAAGATTTGATCGAATCAGAAGAAGAAGTTTGATGCATGGATATGTACTATACCATTATACAAAAAATATGCTAGACCTGTAAAAGCAATGAATTCTATCTTACTATTGTACAAAAATGAAAATTCTACTTGTATTGTTTGCGTTGTTTGTCTTTTGCCAATTTTAAGCGACGAGACTTTTCTGATAATTTGGCATTCTTTTTATCCTTTACGGATAAACTATGGGCAACCATCATGTATGGCTTACTCTTCTTCTTATCAGCGTTACTTGAACTACTTGGTGTTGCTTTGTTTCGTTTGCCCTTCTTACTACCAAATGCTTCACGACCTTCTCTTCCTTTTTCGATACTGGCCATTCGTTCTTCATAATCCATCTTTCTCTTTTTGCCCACTCCTAAGATGTCTAGTTCATTCACAACTCCTCCTTTAGAAATGGTCCCGTTGGCAATGGCGTCAATGGAAGATAAACTTGCATTATTTCCTCCATCGTTTCTCTTCCTTCTTTGTTCCAATTGTGCAATCTCCTTTTTGAGAGCTTGTTGTGCTTTACTACCACTCTTTGCAGAAGAAAGTGCACTCTGAGCTGCTTCTAATCGTAACTTGTTCAAGAGGGCGAAATCGGCCGGTGTCAAGATACGTGTAGTTGCCAATTCTTCGATGGCTTTAGCTGCTTCATTGTTCGTACTCTCATCCACTTTGACTTCAACTTTTTCTTCTTTCTTTTCTGCATCTGAATCTTCTTTGGGTTCCTCTTCGCCCAAGCGTGCCTTTCTTCTGGATTCACGTTTAGCCATCCTTCTTTCACGCACACGTTCCAATTGAGACTTCTGTGCTTCGTCTCCATTTGTTGTAGATTTTGCCTTCTTGCCTTCTTCGTCTTCGCTGTCGCTCACGTCAAAATCTTCTCCTTCGCTACTAACGTTGATCCATCCACCACTGCTAGCATCGCTATCATCACTGTCTTGATCCCAGCCGTCCCATGCCTGTCGATCACGTTCTTCTTCTGCTTCACTGTCGGCTTCTTCCAAGTGTTTGGCCAATAAATCCAACCCTGCGATTCCATGGGTTACCTCGCCATTCTCTCCAAATCCGCGAACGGTATATTCATCCTTGTCTGCTTTCATGGATCCGTCCTTTCCGCGTTCTTTGCGTGGCAACAATTTAGGATTCTCCTTTCTGTACAGCATCAAAATACCTCGACTTGCGGCTGCAACACCTTTATCCTTACTCTTGCGATACGAAATCAAATCTTCCAAAAGGTCGCGTCCGTCATCCACTCTCGTCTTCATGGTCTTACTTGTGTTGACTGTGTTTGCAATTGTTGTTGTGCCATCTTCTGCTATAATCGCAGCAGGACCTTGTTCTTCCTCGTCATCATACTCAACATCTTCAGATCCTAGGGCCCAGATTTGACGAGCACAAATCTCACGAATTGTGTTGATACCTGCTGCGACCACTTCAGGTCCAACACCTGGATGAACGAAATTGTGTGCAAGCTTGCGGATTAGTGGCAACAAGACAGAAGGCGGAGTTTGCGTGTGAACGGATTGTGCGACAGAGACCAAGATCAAGGTGATGTGCGTTTGATGAGGCATCATGTACTTCACCGCATAAGAGTAGAATCCCAAAACACAAGCTTTGTGTGAGCTCATCACGCGGGCTAGCAACTGCATGATTCGCACTTTGTGTTCCAACAAAAGTCTTTTATCGCCTCTCTTCAATTCTTCAAACAGTTTCTCTCCAAAGCCTTGAGGATCATTGAGCAAGTGAACGGCTGCCACATTGCTATCTCCTTCTTGGCCTTCCTTTTCGATTCGCTTATCTTCCAACGCCTTTTTGCGTCTCTTTGCCAAAGTTGCGGCAGCTCGCACTTTCTTATCATTTGATCTTGTCTTTTTGTTTACCTTTCGCTTGTGAACCAATGATGAGACGTTTGGAATTTCACCTTCATTGTCACTATCGTTCTCTGAATCGGAATTGTCACCTGCTTCGCTTGAATTCAAATCGCCAAGGAAAAATCGCACAGCTGAAGATTGTACTCGAGGATGAGGGTGCAAGCAAGCCAGAGCTAAAAGCGAAACCGTCTTTTCATCGTTCCATATTCTTTTGCTCCATAGATCAGCTGCTAATCTCACAGCCCATAAAGCTTCTCCGCCTGATTTGCTTCCTGCATCTTTTTTGCCATACCCGGATCGTGCAAGAGTAGGATCAGAGCCATGGCCTGGCATTCCAACTTCTACCACACCAAACAACAGACCTTGAACGACACGATTCAAAGAATGATTTCTCGACTTTGCATTTGCGTTCTTCAAATCTGTAGTGATCGTGCGTTGTAACAGAGATCGCAAAGAGGACGAAGGCGATGCGAGCAAAAGAGGGAACAAAGTCTTGAGCAATTGCTCACTTGAGATCACATCACGATTGCGCATGAGCACTAAGCTTCTAACACATGCCGAACGAACTTCCTTTCCAATGATTGCGTGATGCTCCAACAAAAGAGATGAAAGTTGTTGGAATAGTGGTGAGGTCATTTCAGGAAAGCTTGGAGCCAACTGAGTGACAAAGGATAGCAAAGCAACGAATTTGTCCTCTTGATCTTTGTTCAATACACGTGTGTTGCTTGCCATACCGATATCCATAGAATCCATTGCTACTGATCCTGTATATAGCTGTCTTAAGCTCTCGTAATGATTCCATTGTGATCGAAAATCATCCACATACGAACCGGGATCACGTTTGATCAAATTTTGCAAAGCTGGCAAATTTGAAGCGTTGAGAAGACCTCTTGCTTTTGAACGATGTCTTAGACCATTTTCGGTTACTATAGCGCTCACTGGCTCTATAGAAGGTGCCATCTTGGCTTGAGCTTCAATAAGATGATGATTTGTAGGAAGAAGGATTATAAATTAGAATGTATAAAAATGTTAAACACTGCAAAGGGTAAAATTTCAGTCAAATATTTTTTGCTCGCCTTGCAGCTTTTTTTCAATAATTAATTCCAAAAAAATTTGTTGGCTAAAGTGCCTCAACTCGGAACGCGGATTTTAAAATTTCCAAATATTCTTATTTTGAAGGAAACAAATAACTTTAGCAAGCAAGGATGGCAACATTGCTACCAACACTTCATCTTATTTGTCAACACTTATCAAGGCAAGATGGATGATGATGGATTGCTTTTGAACTTTGCTGCACCTACAGCCTCAAGCAGTAAAGTACAACAACAACCAAGAAGAAGTCAAGGCAAGAACAATGGCAGAAGAGTCGCTTCTGCTGTAACGTCTGCTCCTACTGAGAAGAAGACAGAGCAACCTACATCAGGACCGAGCCCAAAGACACAGCCTCGATCCGCTTCCGCATCACTGCATTCACGGAAAGAGCAGAATGGAGGAAGAGAAGTGCAGTCTTCTTCTCAAAAAGCAATATCGAGGTCGACTTCTCTTGGCGAAAGAAATGCTTCTAAAACAGCGAGCGGAGCGACATCATCTACTTCAAAGCAATCTTCGGCACCCAAGAGCACGAGAGGCACAGCTGTGATTTCTTCTCTGTTTGCTGGATCAGATGCATTACAAGAGACAAAAGAAAAAGAAGAAAAGCAACAGCGATACGATCCAACAAATGCGCCATCTAAAGTGTCAGACTTTGGTTCCCTGCAATTAGACCCATTATTGGTCGCTCATCTCAAATCAGAAAAGATGAAAATTACAAGACCTACAGGTATTCAAAAGACCGCTCTGCCCTTCCTGCTCTCAAGTTCATCATTCGAACGTGATGCCTTACTGCATGCTCAAACTGGTAGTGGAAAGACACTCTGCTACCTTTTGCCGATCATTCAAAGTCTTTTACCTTTCTGTCAATCAAGTTGGATCGATAGAAGCTGTTTGGGAACGTTGGCGATCATCCTAGCACCAACACGCGAACTTGCACGTCAAATTTACGAAGTTGTAGAATCTTTGTGCAGTTTGCATTTAGCTGCAAAAAGTACAACTGAAGAAGACTCTGATGAGCAAGATTCAGCAGTACGAAGAACGAGATGGATCGTGCCCGGTCTTTTATCTGGAGGAGCGACTAAAAATCACGAAAAGTCAAGGCTACGAAAAGGTTTGCCAATCATCGTAGCAACTCCAGGTCGTTTGTTGGATCATCTTCGTAATACGGCAGCACTTGATGTCGGTCGTTTACAATGGTTGGTCTTAGACGAAGCTGATAGACTGTTGCAATTAGGATTCGAAGAGACTCTGAATGATATCCTGAAAGCCATCGATGCACGCAGAAGAGCAGCTTGCGAATTGCAAAGGCAGAGAATGCGGGATGAATTAGGCAATCAATTCACAGGTCAGACGTTTGAGGAATCAGAAATTCTTGATACATTCGGTGAAGCATGGTGGAGACATAATCGCAGAACGATCTTGTGCAGTGCAACTCTTGATGAAGGTGTACAGGTCTTGGCAGGTAAAAGTTTACACGATCCTAAGTTGATCCGAAGTGATGCAAGCAAGGAGGCGGAATCGGAAACGGAAGAAAGCACATCGGATGGAAATAAGAATGCAGCGATCGCTGCCCCAGCACAACTATCACAATACTACGTTATTGTACCGACAAAACAGAGATTGATCATCCTGCTTGCCTTGCTCCGACGTAGCATCTCAATGTCCAACACAGCCAAGATTATGGTCTTTTTGAGTTGTACAGACAGCGTTGACTATCATCTAGCCGCAATGTCAGGTGTGACTATGGCTCGTGTGTTTGATGACAACGCTGAGGACGAAGAGAAGGAGAAGAACAAGATCGAATATACCTCTCAATTACTTCCTTCAACTTCTTTGTTCAAACTGCACGGATCCCTCACTGCACAAGCACGTCAAGCATCCCTAAAAGCATTTTCTCAATCCAAACAAGCATCAATCCTATTCTGTACAAGTGTTGCATCGCGTGGATTGGATTTGCATGTCTCACATGTCATTCAAGTTGATCCACCAACCGAAAAAGGTGCAGACGAATACGTCCACAGGATCGGACGAACAGCTCGTGCGGGAGAGATTGGTGAAAGTTGGCTAATGGTTTTGCCCAATGAAGAAGAATGCATTCAACATTATGAAACAGCGATCGGGAAAGAGAAAGGGGTAATGCAACGACGTGAACCTGTTTCAATCTTACGTGATGGATTTGGAGGATCTGATTTGGTTCAAACCCAAACCCGAGCAACGGACGCACAAATGGCGTTGGAAAGATGGACGGTTTCCACTGAAGAAAGGACTGGAATGGCAAGACGTGCATATTTAGCACATCTTCGTGCTTATGCTACCCATCCGCCGAGTGAACGTCATATCTTTGCGATTGCGAAATTGCAATTGGGACATTTGGCAAAAGCATTCTCTTTGCGTGAAGCGCCGGGTGAAATTCGAGCAAAAGTTCAACAACAACAAAAACAACAAAAAGTTGCTTATATGGGCAAACAGGATGACAAGAAGCGTAAGAGGGATACCGTGGCAGATGCAACAAAATCCGCCTTACCCTCGAACGAAACGGGTGATAGCAGCATTGCTGAAATTGAAGACGATGAAGACGATATCTTTGACGGTCGTAAACCTGCCAAATTGCAATTCCAACGTAATGAAGACACAGAAGCAAGAATGTATGCTAAAGTACGTGAATTGGGTAAATTGCACAAACGACAAGGTGTCATGGGCAATTATGGAGGTGCAGATGAATATCAAATTTCCTGATTTAAGGTTCATAATTGTATTTTAATCATTCTTTCTCTAAAAAAGTCATAAATGAATTGACATGAAAAACGTATAGATGTTTAATAATGCTGCGTGAAAAAAGAAAAAAAGAAATCGAGATAAAATTACATAATAATATCAGCTTCGCCCATACTGCTTCTCCTTCTGTGAACGTTTCTTCCGTGTAAACGGTTCAATGTTGCCGCATGGGCTGACTGTGCTGCGGTTGTATGATTTAGATGAGAATAATTAGGTCCTGCTCTAGAATACGTTGCAAATCGATTTGTTGTGGGTCCGTTTGCGTTTGTGGCGGTGATAGATTGCACTGTGTTTGTTTGAATCTTATTTGTAGGTGCTGCTGCTGCTGCCTTTGCAGCACTAGCTGCTGTGCTCATCGCAAACCTTGGTACGCCGCCATTGCTAGTCTGTCGTACACCTCCGTTGACTGCCGATGAGGGTGCTGTTGCCAGAGCGGGACGATGAGTAGCTTGAGTGCCATTCGCAATCACTGGATGTCCTGCGCGGCTTGGCGCTCTGGCACTACCGTTTTGAGTAACCGATTGAGGATTTCCTTGTTCACGAGGACGTTTGACGCTGGTACGATGACCCAGGTCAGCATTTGCAGCCTCTTTTTGTGCTAAACGCTCTCGTGCTGCTGCCACTCTACCGGCAGAATTGGCTGCACTAGAAGCATGTCGCTGGACAGTGGTGGCTGTGTTTGATTGGGAAGTAGATGTACCAGGTCGAACACCATTGTTGTGCTGAGTATTGTTACTTGGCTTGCGTGTAGTGGCCATTGAAGAGACAGGTCGGCTAATCGGACGACCAGCCTTTTGAGAAGATGAAGAGGCTGCAGAAGAGTTTGACGTTGTTCTGCTGATTGGTCTTCGTGAAGAAGGGACTACTCGGGACGGTTGTGGTTTGCTTGGCGATGAAAGTGCGGCCGTGATACTGGCCGAAGGAGGAATGACAGGTGCCGCATTTATCTGTTGTGATTCACTTCTGATAATCTTTTCCAACGGACCAGGTTGCAAGGAAGGTGTCAAATCATCACTGCTTCCCATCGCATCACGACTTGTCACACTTCCATTGCTCGAGATGCTTTCTGTGCTTCCACTACTGCTTGGCTTTCCGCTAGCAGATGCAACAGCTGTTCCATTCAAAGCTTCTTTGCGGCTGCGAGGTGTGTTTTGATTTGATCCTGCTTCACGTAGACCAAATCGTTCGCGAATGTGAGGACTTGCTCGTTGGACACCAGTAGGCGTGGAAGGGGAAGTAGGTGTACCGGGAGAAGGTTCCTCTTTTACTGGACTTCGCTTTGGTGATGAGTTTACCAATCTTTGTGAAAATGACGATGGTGGTTCAGGACTTTGCCATCCTTCTACAAACAAACCATCGTCAATTGATGCTGGCTGAGCTTGAGATTGCTTGTTATTCGAGGGTGACACGTTCGTCTTCAAGTACTTTTTGTCAGACCTCGAAGGAGATAAAGAGCGCTTCTCCTGACTTTGTGCTTCATCCAATGAAGACTGCGAATCGAACTTTTGAGCTGCATCAAGAACGCGGGAGGGTTGAGAAGGTGGACGAATTTCCTCAATCGTAGTCGTCTCTGCTGTTGGCTTTTCGCCTGTGTTCACTTGAAGGTGAACGTCGACATTTACCTCAAAATCCGATCGGATAGGAGCAGTATTGATTTGCGTATCCAGCTCAAGCGATCTAGATGAAGCAGCTGAAGACCGAATACTATCAGCACTAACAATTCTTCCTCGACTGCCGGCCAACGTTCCATTTCCACCCATACGGGCCACAGTGGCAGGAGCTTGTGCTTGTGCTGCACGTTTGCGGGTCGGACTTGGGCTCTTTCTTGGCTGACCAACGCATGGCGTAGGCTTTGCCAATCGAATCGTATCATCTCGACTCTTTTCTTCTTCTCGCTTCGGCGTACTTGGAGCAGCGATGTACATTCTTTGCTTTTTATTCTTGCGTTGATTTTCATCGCCCAACGAGGCTTCAATTTCTGCTTCCGTTGCTCCTTCTTCGCCGCTGCTTGAATCACTGACTGTCGATTCAACATACCGTCTCTTGCCTAACAATTCCACTTTTTGCTTCTGCAATGCTTCTTCTAGACGTGTATTTGCATCATCTTGCTCGCGCCATCTGATCCAATCAGGTACTTGTTGATACATGAAATGCTGTTGTGGACCGACAACACATCCGGGTCGCATGATACGCATAAATCCGATCGATTCGCCCGCTGAAAAGCCATGCCTGTAAGCCAAATATGCTCCGATCAACACACCAGTTCTTCCTAAGCCTGCTTTGCAATGCACTGCGATTGCACCACCTTTTGAGATAATTTCATCGGCTCGAGCGATAAATGATCGTACGATTTCTTCACAAGGATTTGATCCATCGTCAAAGTACATGTCCACATGTTCGATACCTTCTCTTTCGAATACCCTTGAGTCATACAAAGGATTATTCAGTCGCACTACCAATTTCACATTGTGCGATTTGAAATATTGAACGGTGCGTAAGAAGGTGCTATTCAACGGACGTCTCAAGCCGGGAGTTACCGGTCTTCCTGATCCGTTGTTTTGTCTCAATTCCGCGACGTACTCTTTGTCATTAGGGCTTGCAAATGCAATAATATTGGGGGTAATCCAATTCCAATCTCCATTTTGTACCTGCTCATACGTTTCGTATTCCTCCAAATCGAACGTCATCAGATCTAAAAGTCTTTCTTGAATAGCACGATGAACACCATATAAGATATCCTGAATAGTCAAATAATAATCTGCTCTGCCATATCCTGCGTCCCGGAAAGGCATCAATTCAAGCGTGCTGATAGGATGAAAGGCATCTGCCGGGCTCACATCACCGCAAACCATCGCATACATTGCCGCTAGAAGTGCCGCATTTGCTTTGTTTTTTGGATTGTTTGTTGTGTATAAGATCAAATGCAAATCCCGCGCTGCTTCTACTGCCGATGCAGTTGATTCCTCTTGAGCAGAATTGATGAGATGATGCAAATGCAAGCAAAATCGATAAAACATGGCAACGTTCAGTGGTCCCCAATCCTCAAAAAAGCTTAGGTATACTAACTCCGAATCCACGCAAAACCAATGAACGTTTGCTTCGGCTGAAATGTGTGGTGCTATTGCTGATGCAGGCAGAGGCTCCGAATGTGTTGTTCCATCGTGATTGACTTTTGTTGTGAATCTGGCAGATGATGAAGGATTGAGTGGTAATCCGGCTGCTTCTCTTCCTCCGTCTCGATTAAGAATATCAGCTCTTGGTGCAGGATGCTTGAAATAAGTAAAAGAGAAGTTGTGTGTCATTTGCATAATCTTTCCGGCAGGCATAGGATGAAGTGGTCTTCCCACAGATGTTGCTTGAGACTGGACTGGGGTTGCGACTGCTGCTAATTCTGCTTCCATTTCGCTAAGATCTTGTTGTCCGTCAATAAAGCTTTGACCGTCATCCTGTTCATTTTCACTTTCAAGAAAGTCAGAATCATCTGGTGGTGGAGCGATGACACCTGTCACTTCATTTTTGAATGTGGACATTGTTATGGTGACTAGGGGAAGTGTATGATATCCTTGTTGTTTGATTGTCCCCCTAGGATGTCATTCGCGTCTCCCTTTTCTCTTGTTCTTGATGTGATGATGATGGTTTGATGAGTTATCAAATGACAAAGTCGTGTGTGTTATGGTTGCATTCATTCGGCACTTTATTCTTGTGTGTGTACACAGTTTAAGCTTCTTAATATTCTTTATGGTATACATGCGCGTACGCCCAATGTTTTATTCGTGTTGTTTTCTTGTGATTGTCTCCACAGCAACAGACAAGCAAGAGTGTAAAAGTGCCTGATCACACACGCTCCAAGCTTTGATTTTGTTGATTGAATGGTCTACTTAAGAATTGCCTTTTTGTATGCAGTCAGGTACGCACGCGATCGCGCCTTGTTGAATTGTCACGTGTTTAGGCGTAGAAGATTCACACAGCTTTACCATTCTCATATACAAGCCTATGCAGATGATATTGCTACGAAATCATACCTGTGATCTCAGGCTCACTTGAATGACCATGCATCGATAAAGAAAATGTCAGTCCACCTTTCGGTAGAAATCTAAAATCGGAAAGATTCTACAATATTAGTAAATTATAATTATTAACATTTTTTGTGCAATTTTTCATTTGTGGTAATAGTATTGACAAGTTTAGTCCACACTGTACAACATATAAATATTATATGACAAGACAATGTTTCATAGTCCTTAAAAGCATACCTTGCAGTTCTGAGATATTACAGAGCAGAGACTTATTTAATGATTTGGATATCTTGGAATTGTTAATCACGGTGCACTTGGGTAATTAAAAGATAAAATTTGTTCACTTGTCTTGTAAAGGTCAAGCAGGTCTAATCTCAACAAAGGACTCATACAAGAGAAGAAAAGGAGATCGTCTTTATTATACAACAGAAAGATTAGCACAGTCTAAATGGAAGCCTATGCCAAAGATATGGTGAGAATCTGTGGGTGACTGTATAAGCAGCTGCACGCGCTAAAGATAATAGAACATGCTGATGTGAATGGAATGATACAGCAATATTACGTTGCTGTAGAATGGGAGTGTGATTCTGGACTAATCGGTTCAGGGTTTCATGCACACGATCAGTTGGAGGGAGAATCAGTTCATTGTTGTAAAGGGGAATTGCTGGCATCAGCACATTGTACTTTACATGTTCTACATAATGCAAGAGTGCGGCAAGGTACCCGCACTGTGGCACGTGGATGGCGCGTTTTTATTCAACACATGCAGGCGTCGATTGAGTGAATGCGTTAGTGATACGAATGTTGCGGGTTATCCGCTCTATTTTTGGGCGTTATCCCCTTCTTAAGCCCCTCATCAAGCTGTACACTCTCTTTTCTCAACCTCAACCATCATCACAAATAACCAATCATGCGATTCTCTATACAATCATTTATGCTCTTAGCAACGCTCATGCTTTCCATTTGCTTTGGAAATGCTGCTCCGATAGATGGCGAAAAGACGGGAACAAATCTTATTTCAACAAATTTCGATAAAACAATTGCAAAGGGGATGTGGTTAGTTGAATTCTTTTCACCTTATTGTGGACATTGCAAAAAGTTTGCTCCGACTTGGTCGCTACTGGTTGGAATGAATGAACATTTAGCAGATTCATCAGACTTTCATTTCGGTAGGGTTGATTGTATTGCACAAGGCGATTTATGCACTTCAAACAACATTCAAGGTTATCCAACTGTTCGATTGATCCTTGATGGTAAAAAGGTCGAAGAATTCGAAGGAGAACGAACATATGAAGCATTATCGACGTTCATATTAACGCATGCAAAAGAACATAAAAGTCAAATCGCTGGATTCAAGCATCTATAAGGGTCATAAAATCTCACACACAAGAGTCACGTCAATACAACTGTATTTTACAAATTCGATTCATTCTATATCCATCTATTTTGGTTACAGATCATTTTCGCTTCTTCTCTTCATTCGAAACAGCACCTTCGATCAATCTATTCCACAGGCGTGTTTCCCAGGCAAGACAAAATGCCTCATTGCTAAACGTCTTTACTGCCCTAGACCTCGCTCGTTGCCGCATTGCCAGCTCTTCTTCCTCGCCAAGCGAAAAGATCTTCTGTGCCGCCTCTACAAATTCGCTGTTGGAATAAGCATGAAAGCCTGTCAATTGTCCATCTTCCGGTACGGCGATATCGAGTAATGGGCCTGCAGACGCATGAGAAAGGGTGATAAGACCTGCTGCCATGAACTCGACCACATTGATACCGAAATGCTCATCAATCATTGTGCTAAGTCCAATGCTTGCAACGGAAAGGTTTTCCAAGATGGTAGAGTACGGAGCATTGACGACGAATGAAACATGCTTGTCGACTTCCAATTCCTTCACCAGTTGCTTCAATCCCTCAATCCTCTTTTCGTCCCCTTCATTGCGACTGCTGCCCATACAAATAAGCTTGATTTGGTCAATGTCTTGCCCTGATCTCTTTCTCTGGTCGATCAGGTCTTTGATGATTCTTATCTGTGTTGCATGCTCCTTCTCCGGTCGAAATTGGGCTAAGCTGACCAATGTCATCTTCTGACGTTGCTGTAAGGGAAACGTGTTCAAAGAGGCTGTATCACATGGAGGATATACCACTTGCACCTTTTTGGAATCCGGCAAGCCACTAGCCTTGGTCCCGAACATGAGATTGTTCAGATGATTCCTCGTCCAGCTTCCATTGGCGACCAAAGTATCAGCAGTTCTTAGAGCACGGGAATATGTCCAAGCGAACAAGCGATAATAGACCAATTTAAGTTGACTACGCCATTTGCTAGCAGAAACGTTTGAATTATTTGTATGTCCTGCTTTCCTGTCTTTTACCCTTTGTAGCATATCTGTACTGATCATTGGATAATGCACATAAGCGCCGATGGGAATTCGATGATTGAATAAACGTACGACAGGATAAGCGAATGCATATCCCATCGAATCAATGAACACATCTGGCAAGAATTGAGTACATGCCTCGAATGCCATTCGCATACTGCCATATGCTTGTCCCAATAAAGTCAATCGCTTCCAATAGCTATCCGATACGAGGATCCGATTCGAAAGAGGCAAGAAATGAATACGTGATGCCAAATCTGGACTGTGTAACGGTATAGCAAAACGTGCATTACATCTTTCCAAGATCTCAGTTTTTGTGACACTTTTCGATCCATCTGGAAGTGATACTCCGCCATCTTTGCCTTGCTCAAGCTCTTTGTCGGTAGCATCGAGTGATTCTGCCGGTCCAACGTCTCCTGAATAAATCACGATTACGATCTCCGGATCTTGTCTGAGGTGATGTTCGATTGCTTGCCATAAAACTCTTTCACCGCCTCCGCCGGCATTACAATATGGATGAAAGAATCCCAGAACTGTTCTGCGTGAAGGTGAAGATTGATCGGTAGATTGTTGTGTTAAGCCTAATCGTTTGAACAGTTTCGCTCGTACGATTCGATTCCTCTTTCTTGTCTGTCTTGCATGTGTGGAAAAGAATTGAAGAGTGAAAATGAAAGAGAAGATTACAAAGATAGCTGAAAGCACAAATACTGTCTCTAAGCCACTTGCTTTGCCTTCTTTGCTCATGTTTGGAATTGATCCCTTGTGGGGGTGATGTTATGGTGTTGATCTTGAAGCTTAATTTCCATTGATCTGCCCCCCCATTTCTTCTTGCGTGGAGGCCAGAGCTTAAACCCGGCGCGTTCTCTCAGTTTAATTTTTTTTAAGTTTTGTTGCATTCATTCGGAAAAAGGTAAAATCTTCTTAATATTCAATCTTAACTTCTTCATCGATCACTACGACAAACATGTCTGATTTAGCAAGACAGCAAATTAGACCTAGCCTGTCTGATTTGAGAGATCTTCCACCAGAGTATGATATAGTCGATGACGATGAGGAGGATAGCTTACACAGCCAAGAGGATGGAGAACCTACACATGCACCTGCAGCCACAGCGAGTCGATCACTGCCTCCGACGATTGGAGCAGAAGTGAAACCTGGTCCGTCTTCTGTCCTAAAGAAAGATCCAGATAATGGAGCAAGGAAGTCCAAAACGGTCAGGATAGAAGAAAGTCCAGATGTACAAGGCGGGAGAAAGAATCCAAACCAAGCACGACAACAACGATTCACCATTCCGCTTGAAGAAGAAGACTACGACGAAGAAGCTCCCGGTATTGATGCGGGTGGAGCATCTGCTTCTTTCCTGCCTCTTATAGGCACAATCCAGGAACGCAAACCCGTCAATCATTCCACTTCAGCATCAAAATCTGATCGAGCCGGTCAATCACGCTTTGCGGCTCGAAGACAGCTTGACCGAGATGCAGGCATTGCAAAGCCGGTGCAACAAGGGCATCCAACAAAAAAGCCTGCTCAAGCTGCAAAGCCCAGCGTTGATGATGAAATTTGGCTAGATGAAGATGGCAGTCCAATGTCTGCATTTCGAAAAAATCGTTTGTTAAAGCAAGGCTTACGTCCGCCGAGCATTCAAGCAGTATCGAAGGAACAGCCTACAAGCAGCATCACCCAGATTTCACAAGGGAACAGTAATGCTATCGAAGGCAGCTTGGAAGCCCTGATGAAGTCTATTGCAGCTGAGAATGAGGCAAAGATAGCAGCAATGTCAGCCGATGAAATAGAGCATGATATGCAAGATATCAAGGAAGCCTTTGGATCGAATATACTGGAGCTACTAAAAAATCGGCGAAAGAAGGCTGAGGAGAAGAACCATGATGCAGCTGTATCAACTACATCCATCGAGCCTAAAACAGATGCATTACAAGCAGAAACACCTGAAGAACAATCTCCTGAATATATACGGCAGAAATACTTCCCTCATGAGCCTAAATGGATGCCAGATGCACTGAAATGGACGCAAGATCAGACAGAAGACGAGAATCATCCTTCCACATTCCGCTTTGACTTTTCCGGAAAAGTTATTGATACGAGCATTGAGGATAATACAACACGACTTGCAGGTCTACATAATCATGGACAAGATCAAGATAAGCCGGGATATACGATACAAGAGCTATTACATCTTTCGAGAAGTACAGCCTCTTCTCAATGCATCATAGCTCTTCAGACGCTCGGAAGGATTGCCATGACGTATCAAGAAGTCGATGCGGGAGCGTTGATAACAGACTCACCTAATCAAAAGATCTCGAAGGAAGTTATGTCGACCAATCTGCGCGGTCAAGCATGCATCACTGCTTTATGGTACGTTGAAGACAGGCGACCGAATGTGAGGTCAGCTGCTTTGACTTGCATCAGAGAGTGCTTATCGTCTAGGCTGGGTGGTCCTGGTACCTTACCTCTTCTGGTAGAAGTTCCATTGTGCCGATCAAAACCGCAAGCTAACACAGATATCACTCAACCTTCAGAAGATGAAGGAGTTGAAGAGAAGAAAAAGATCCCAACCATCGATGATCGTGAAGTGCTACGCGAGGCTGTTAATGCTTTGTTGAGCTCTCTACACTCTCCTGTTACGACCTTATCTGAAGCTGTTCACTCGTTGCAGATCCTCACGCAGCTTGCCAGTAGGTCGAGAGATATGTGCAAGGCAATTCTGCAGAATCCATCACAATTTCTCGGCATTCTACACAAATATCTTCTAAAACAGACCTGGTCAGCCAAAGAAGGAGATGTGAAAGCTTCCATTCTCGCGCTCAAGCTCGTCTTATGCTTGATCGCAGGCGGCAGAGAGCTAGCACTTATTCTTTATGATGGCGGCATTACCTCCAAGCTTATTCATTTCATTGCCATTCCACCTTGGTCTGCACCTACAAGTGCACAAGCTCACTCTTGGAAGCATATGGACCTTACTTTGCGCGTATACGATGGACTTGGCCGATATGGCATTGGTGCGAATACATATAGCAACAGTCATACAGCCTTTATCGGCGTCGAGGAATGGATAAGTCACTTTGAAGTGGAAGATAGCCCTTCCCCTTTACGCTCTTTACAGCTTCAAACCTTACAATCTGCTTTGCGATTGTTTTCTAGTTGGACTGTTTGTGCTACTGATGCCCATCAAACGCATGGTCATCACGATATCACTTGGAGTCAAGTCTCAGAATGGTTTGAGCTGAGCACCGCAATGCTGGAGCGTTTCTCAAATATAGCCATAGAAGGAGGTGACGTGCTTACGTTGTCTGCACAAGGAGATGCTATCAATCTCTTGGAAGTATGGAAAGCAGGCGCCAATGCTAATCGCATCGAAGACTTGCGAAACGTCAAGTCAAAGGAAGGCGTGATCGTTGGTGAGGCTACCAAATTCTTTTCCAATATCAAAGCAAGCATGACCGTCCATACGGATATGCTTCTCAATGCAATGAAAAGCAGGAAAGGAGAACCGTTTTGGCTTTCGCAATTGCCGGTCCTTATCAATATTAGTCAACTATGTCAAGCTGCCAATGCGGCCGTTGGATTCACCAAAGACTCAACAGCGATTTCCAGTGAACTACTTTCGATCACTGCATTGCTGATGCGAGAGATTCCATGGCAACATCTCTCTAATCAATCTGCCATTCAAGCTGGCGTGACAGAGGTGCAAAGATCTATCGTAGAATTCATTATCCAGGCTTACGTGAATCTGCAAGCTGTCGAAGCAGGAGAGCTGCAATGGTTGCAGCTTCTCACAATATCGCCACCGGGAACCGAAGCGGTTGTTAGAGATGCACTGCTCAAATACCTTCCCGTCCAGTTGGGCGACGATGGGGCAAAGGAACTGAAGATTTTGTCTCCTTTCTTAGTTGAGCTTCTTCGACAGAAGAAAGAGGAAAACGTTGCTCCGCTTCGTCCTTCAGTTGATTCATTGAAAAAGACGACTACTTTGTTCACCATTTGTTATTCAAGTATCGATGAAGAAGACGAGGAAGTGGAGACGGATCCAGTTTCCGGAGTTCCATTATGGAAATGCGCAAATTCCGGTTTGCCTTTACGGAAAGATTGGCCTTTCGTTGCTTTTGATGATTTACTGCATTCTGGCAATTGTGCTTCTTTACACAGACCAAACGCACTATCAGAAGACTGGGACGCAAACGAGCTAGAAATCGTTCGAAGCTCTTTATCGCTTGCTTTACGTTTATGGGACAGCGATACTCAATCTACATCGTCTCTCCCTTCGTCATCTGAAGTATATCTGGGTATAATGAAAGTGTTCATGCTGGAAGAAGAAACTGGAGATACCCGTGCAACCGGAAAGATTACCGGTCGTGATCTGTATCGAGATGAACAAGTTTCAGATTCGTTGGACAAGCTTTTCAAGCTTGCCAACATATTACACTTTAATGAAGATTCGATGCAAAGTGAAAATCTTGAAAATGCTTGTCATCGTCAATTTGGAACTTTGCTTCCCTTTTATCAATTGTTTACGGATCTTTTGGGTTTGTACGATGGTATTTCGTTTGGAATGGAATTGTTTGGGAGAGCGATCTTGGTACCTCTGCAAATGCGTTATGCTGTGGAGTATAGGAGATTATTATGGATCGATTATGCACATTATCTCAAAACGATCACGACTACAGCACAAGATGCACCAAATGGAATTCAAGCATACATTTCTGAACAAGAGGTTGATGATAGCGTAATCCGAGGAATGTCATTGGCTTTGCTTAGCGGTCACGTTCAAAAGGTAAGGAATGGCTTCCTTTTTGCTGTTGCGATCAATCAACTTGCAAGCCTGATTTGGACAACAAAAGACTCGAATCCTAAATCGAATGCAAGGGCAAATCAACTGACAAAAGCACTTTTCCGAGATTTACAAGGAAACAACACGTCTGAGATACCCTATATAGCAGAGATGAGACAGGCTATAGTGGAATGGGAGCCTAAGGGGCAAGTTCTGCCTGAGACAGAAAAGCAAGAGAGACTTGCTTTTATTCTACATAATTGTAATCAAGATTGAAGTTCTTTATCATATGTACACTATTTCAGCAAACAATTCATGCATTCGAACCCATCCTCGAGATGCTTGCCATTGCGATAAAGTGAGTCGAGCCATGTCTGATCGGTACAATGGATAATTAATTCATGAAACGGTGGTAGAGAATGCAATCGAATCATTCTTCGACATCTTCATCGACCACCTCCTCATATGAAGGGTAATAATGTCGCTTATATAATGCGATTACTCCGGAATTTATAGATTAAGGGATCGGGAGACGCGTAAGTCGTGCGACAGAAAACGCCAAGAGCTGCGTAATCGTGCCCTTTTACGCCCAATTTGAAACCGGATTTAAGGATTTTTAAGGTTTTGACAGAATCATCGGTGGAGTTCATCATCATTCCTTTCGATTCTACCTTTGTGAAAAAGGTGAGCTTAGAGGAAAAGAAGTATCGGTGAGTAAGAATAAAGCATCTTGGACAGGAAACACCATCAGACATAGATATACAGAGGTCGCCACCTTTAGATGCAACTGCAACATCAGCTTTCGACCTCACATCAGCAATCATGACGACCACAAATGGAGCTGCTTCAACGTCCAATACTACCCTGGATGCAACATTGCGCAATGGTACATCCACTCCATCGCTTAGGCGTGTTCGGGCAGAAGAACGTCAATATCAAAGTGAAATGATGTTCATCGGTCAAAGATGTCATTGGGATGATTGCCATCGAGAGGATTTCCTGCCTTTTCGTTGTGCAGATTGTCAGAACAAATTCTGTTCTGAACATTACAAATCCGCAAGTCATAATTGCCCAAATCCTACGCCAGACTTTGTCGTTCCACAATGTCCCCTTTGTCATGAACCGCCAAAACAATGGAAGCGTGATGAAGATCCAAATGTGGCAATGGATGCTCATTTGACGCCTAACCCTAAGACGGGTTTAGTGGAATGTACAGCATTGGGAAAAGATGGAAAGTTACAAGCACAAAAGAAGGAGAAACGGGAAAATGAATGCAACGAAAAGAGATGTCATAAATTGATGGTCGTGCCTATTCAATGTCCACAATGTCGTCAGCAATTTTGCCCTTCTCACAGAGCGCCCGTTCAACATCAATGCACCTCATTATCAACAGCAAAACAATCTTCGTCTGCCTCTTCATCTTCTCCCGGTAGCAAACTGCTCGATTCACTTGCAGCAAAGCGTGCTAGTTTACAACAAGAACCAACCGAACCACAAGCTCCTATGGAAAAGCAAAGCAAATTGAACGGAAAGGCCGAAAGCCTGAATCCGATCCGTGCTATTCATGCAGCATCGAATGAGAGAAAGATGGACAAGTGGGTTCCCAGACCAATTTTTGGCAAGGCATGATTGTTTAGCTATGGCTTTATCATCATCTCGAGCCTTTTTTTTCATTCGCCCAACAAAATACTCATTTCCCTTTTACCCCCTTTCTTTTTCCTCCCTTTTTCAGACGAGCAAAAAGCGAACATATTTCAGCGATAAAAGCAATGCAAGCCCGACAAAAGAAAGGACTTTTATCACAAGCCGAACAAGTTAAATTGGCGGAAGAGATGGCTAAAATGCATATGAGCAATGAAGCAGAAGATAAAAAGAAGAAAGAAGATTGTATAATCGCATGATCATTGTGCATTTTTTTTCATTTGTATCACTTAAAGCATACCCTATTTTTAATAATTATATCATTTTCATTTATTGTCTTTTGGTATCCGGTTGGGATTCGCATCCGAATAAGCGTAGGTGTGTAGGTGTTTGTTTATTATGGAGTGAACACCGATAGCTATCTTCTAGCGGTGACGGATGGATCCGTTCCATTCTTGAAGAGGTAACGCACAAGTCCGTAATATGACCGATATTTCCTTTTTCTGCTTTTCCTTCTTTTTTATTTTTCCATTTTTCCTTATTCCCTTTCTTTTCCGTCACTTCCGGTTAGTGTGAGAAGGATTGATTGTCAAGCAAGCGGGGGCATGTAGGGTTATCGTTTTTTTCAAGGGGCGCTAAAACAATTTCTTAATCTCAATCTATGCAAGTTTATTTAAGATGATTGAGCATAAGTTTTAGTGATATGTAATTGCCGGTTTTGCAGCACACACAAAGGGGTATCAAGAAGTGAAAAGCCATGTTCCAACAATGCATACTATACGCTAATGAAACAATTATTCGTCATTTAAAGTTGAATAATGTGTCATAAATTAAATATAAACTCATCTTAATGCATTACCCTCATTACCTTAAGACTTATAAAATAAGACGGCCATTTTGATCGTAATTGATCAAATTTGAAATTCTTCTCTCGATCATAGTCTTATTTTTTCTTAAATTTATGTAATGTGTGCCTAAGACCAATTATGACCCCTGCCGATCGATCAGTGCCTTTACGCCACTTACTTCTCTTTTAATGATGAATTTGTTTAGCGCGGCGTTTTATTCTTATATCCGTTGTTGAATGACAAGGAACAATGGGTGAAAGAAGGAATGCATATACATTCTAAAATAAGGTATGTTACTCCATTGATCATGCCCGAACAAAGACCGGAAATGGGTTTTGAAAAAGCTTAAAAAGTGCCTAAAACTCCACAGAAAGAAGTCTAAAACACAAGAGAAAAAAGTTTAATTTTCATGCATTATTATCAAATCACGATCTTCATCACGATTTCCCGAACATGCACTAAAAGTGTTTAATTTTAGTCGCGTTCATTGTTGTGGCACAGCTTTTAAAACCCTTGTATGCAGGTCATACGCCTCTTTTGACGGACGTTGAAAAACACAAGACAAGCGCAGCGCTTAAATATTCGATCTCCGCTAAGAAAGGGGACTGGTTGCTTAAGTGCGGGCGGGAAACAATAGAGTGAACTGCATCTCATCATGGACCCTGCCGAGTGCACAAACGGGCAAGACACAACTTGCTCTCACTCCCACATTCTCACTCTCTAGTACTAATATCCGCTAATCAATTCTAATCTTCTTTTCTTTACCTTTTCCAGATATTCCCTTAGACTCGATCACTCTATCATTTTGTGTGAGAAGAATTCACCCACATTGAGCGGAATACGTGAGCAAGAGAGAGAGGGAGAGAAAAGCCGCTTTGTTTTAAGAAAAGACGCGTCTAGTACCCCCTGCCTGCACAAGAGCAGAGTAAAGTTTTAATTTTCATTCAGGTGCATGTATGATCTCATAGGTTAATAATTAAAGGTATCGGATAAGGACAATAAAGTCAAAATAAGAGTTTATTGCATGCATGCATTTTACTGCATGCGTGCGATCACCACCAATAAGAAGAATAAACATATTGAACTTCTTTTTCACCTTAATTGGACCCGTGTAAAGCTTTGAATACACCCAATCACCGAACACACCTTATACCCCCCTTCTTTTTCTTGACATAAATTAAAGATTTTTAAGCAGGGTTTGCCTCCATTTAAACAATAGATCCTTAAATCGGTTCACACTTACCTTGCTTGCTTGTCAAATGGAGGTGGAATTCCGATTGGGAAGATGAAGAGTGAATATGCATTACATGCAAAAAAGCTAGATTTCAAATCTAAGTTACATGGTGTTAAAACTCTCTTCTTTTGCGCGCAAATCTTGTGTTTATTTCAAACAAGCATTCTTCCCCCTCCCCCAGTCTTATTTGTCCGAAGGAGACATTCCGATCGCTTGTTTGACAACAACCATCTTCCAATTACGTATGTGTTCGGATTGATACTTCTCAAATCAATCCTTCTCGATTTCAGTCTGCGTCCGCTCTCGTCACGCAGCATATACACACGCAAATAAGCAATAATATCCTCAACAAGGATCATTCAACACTCACATCCTCATACTTTCCTTCTTTGATACCATCACCGACTCAAACACTATGATGTATCAACGTGATTATGACGATAGGGAAGTTGTAAGCGCGCGTTCAACATTGCCGCCTCCTCCTCCACCATTGCATCACATGCATTCCTCCCATCAAAATCATCGGATTATGAACAGTCCTCCTTCAGCATTCGAAGTAAGAGGAGCAAGAGCACCCCCTCTACCATATCATCACCCTGATCGATCTCCGTCAATGAACGCACCATCAGGATATGGTATGCCACCAAACCCTCATCACGCCGGATACAACTATCACTCTCCGCCTACCGAATACGAACGATACGATGAAGTACCAAGATCGAATTATTATCACAGAGAATATATGAACGAACATGCTCCACGTCCATATACATACGGTGAACCACCAATGAGAGAAATGGGAGGATATCCGGGAAACGATCATGGTGTAATGATTGCAAAACAAGAAGGTATGCATAATATGATGAACGGCTATCCGCCTGCGTCTCATCCTGCATTGGAGCACAGACGCTCGATCGGAATGCTCAATAACCCGCCACCGCATATGATGCCTTCAAATGCATACAATCCGCATAGCCTCCGCAATGATGGTCACTACCTAGCAGATCCAAATATGATCCATATGGGTTCACCGGGTGATCAACGACCGACGTACATCGGTTATATAAAATCAGCACATGATGCAATCTTGTTATTATCTGCATGTGATCTTCCTTCCGATGCATCTTCGCCCAAATCACCACAAAACACTCCTTTGCAGAGCAAAACTATTCCTCCTCCAAGACGAGTCACTAGAAGACTCTTGGACGCAGAACGTGCTGATATGGTCTCTAGTGGATGTGTTTTCGCATGGGATGAAAAAGAAGCTGGAATGAAGAGATGGACCGACGGTCGTGTTTGGAGCGCAAGTCGTGTAAGCGGATGTTTCTTGACTTACCGTGAACTAGAAGCCAGAAAAAAGTCCAACAATGCAACCCATGACGGACCAACTTCAAATCAATACAAACCCGAAGGATTGATTAAACAATCTTTCTCCATCACAACGGCCTCCGGACGTAAACTTCATGTGATTTCTTATTTCACCAAAAGAGATGTACGTGAAGGCCGCTTGCGCCGTGTAAGCGAAGATCCTCGTTTCGTCGGCGAAGGCGGCGGTGAATGGGGCTTAAAGGTGAACGATGAAGAATATTCGTTCCATGACGGTATCAATCGTGCCGGACATGGTCTTCCTGACGGTCAAGGTGACGCTGATATCTTGGACGAAGATGATGAAGATGACGTATTGGATTCGCCAATTTCACGTCCCGCTACCACTCTCCCAAGTAGTGTTGCTGCTTCTCATCAACCCCAATTTGTTGAGCCAGCGCCTGTCCGTGAAGAGATCGAAAGGCAAGCTCCTTCAGAGCCCGTCCCACTTCAAAATCCTCGCAAGCGCTCGTTACCTGAAGACAGTGATATTGATCCTGCTATCAGCACTGCATCTGCTTTGCTCGAAAGAGCGCCAATCAGACCAAAGCTACAACGTCTACGGTCATCAAGTTATTCAGGCACGCCTTCGGGAAGCAAGTCCAACTCATACCAAAGCGGCTATAGTTCATCAGTTGCCACAACTGTGCCATCTTCTGATCCTTTGGACGGCAATGTCAAAACACTACAGCCGCTTGCCACATCGCAATATTCTTCCATCGTTGGCCGTTCCAGTGCGATTCGTGCTTTGGTCAGCCCTACTTTACCGCGTGAATCGGCCATTCGTGGAAGTGCAAATGAAATGCAACCTTCGGATAGTCAAGACAGTGCAAATGCAGTTGGTGCATTGCTAAGCTTAGCCGGTGGTTCGAGCAAACCTTCAGGGCCATCACCTTTGGGCGGTGAAAAAACAAAAGGTGAAGCTTCACCAACGGTAACAAACGGTACGATTTCAGGTTTAGGATTAAACGTTAAAGGTTTACCTGAACGTCATGAATCGGATCGTAATGCGCTTAATATGTTTAGCGTTCGTTTGTGATAATATCTTTTGACCCTTCCCCGTTTCTTCCTCTTGCTGTTATCTATATGCAATCGTCATACCTACCGTAGGTATGACAGTTGACAAAAGTCACACTTCTTTATTGTACTACTACTAATATTTTCTATCTTGCATAATGCCTCTTTCGTACTGCTTAGTTAGTTGCTCTATATTTTGTACTTGTATTGATCATATTCTGTCATCACCTCATTTCAACTCATGATATGGACCCTCAACCTGTGTGTTGTATTGAGAATGAAACCTGTTTTGATTATTATACATGAATGATCGTTTCGAATTAATAATTTACACTGTATTCACAAGTAAGAAGCCCACCCAATATACATCTGTGCTAACAAAGTACTGCTAGTTGCATCACGTATCAATGCATCCACCAATGCATTCGTCGAATGAACTGATGTCCATGCACCATGATGACCGTGTCTGCGTAATTGACCAAGAAGTTTACGACTGATAGGATCCAATGCTTTCCTTGCTTCTGCAACACGTGGATCTGCTCTTGAACCTGTCACTTTACTCTTTCCGCCTTCCAAATTCCATTCAACCAAAGGATCATGTACCATTGCTTCCAAAACGCTCATCAAACTGTCTTTATGTTCACGTAGAATGTTCATCGTGATTTCGGCCGCTTTACGGAAAACGCCTTCAACGCCCGTGATACCCAAAGCATCGACTAAATTTTGCGTAAGTCGGAAAGGTACTCGTTCGGGTATCTCGAACGTTGTTCCTTTGTCGAACAAACAATTCAAATCAACATGAACCGTATCGCCAGAAACGGAATCGAACAAGATGTTTTCTCCGTGTCGATCGCCCAAGCCTAAAACATGACCGACCATACTCATAACAGCAAGTGTACGACCGTAATTGGATCGAGCGATCAACCATGAAGATGGCTCAGGGAACATTGTCAAGAACCATTCATGGAATACGGGAGGGTATTTTGAGAGAACTTTTTTCGTAAAAATCTCTCCTGCTTTCTTTGGATCTTTTCTAGCGGCTTCCATATCCACCTTGATCTGTTGAGTATAGAGATGGATATTGCGATTTGCATAAAGACGATGCAAGACGTGTCGTAATCCAACGGTGTTTGGCACCCATTCGATCAACCCACATTCTTCGTTGAGAGTGACAACGGCATACGTGCGAATGTAAAGCCTTCGCTTACGTGAATCCGGATTGCTTTGAAGAAGATTGTTGATCATACTATCGAACTCCATCAAACGAGCATCTTTCCGCAAATCGTCTTTGGGCTTGCATAAGAAGGCATACGATTTACCGTTTGATGCTTTGATTATAATCTTCCTTGGCCTTTGTAACGAATGCATCACTTCAATCGTCTCGTCAAGATCAACAATCCGTGGAATGTCGTCATCAAATACCTTGTAATCCCTATCGGCAGAAAATGTTGGCGGCATTGTGACAGATAGACTCTTTTGCATTGGTAGAATGACATCACCTCTGCGTGCTAGGGAGAGAAGACTAGGAAATTTGCTGCTCATTTCCATCTTTTTCACTTCTGCATCCACGGGACAATCGCAAAGATATAACAATTCTTTGGCCATCTTGATCATCTGATCAATTGTTTTAGCAGTATGGCGCGTTTCAATTGCGGATTTCACTGTTGTTTTTACCCGATTCACGATCTCCGAAAATCGATCTCTACGACTCCTATCTGTGCTTTGAAGACCAGCAACCATGATCCACATTGCTTGATCAGGGTAGACTTCTACTGTATGAGCAATGAGCTCCTGCAAAGTCTTCCAAATGCTCTCGTTTCGATGAGCAACCCGTGATACCAACTGCGGGAATACAGCCAGCCATTGATAAGGAGCAATAGTCCTGGTTGTCCTTCGAATCATATCGTTGATCTTTTTGAATTGCGCAATGTGCTCCAAAGATGCATTATCGAGGCTTTTTGTTTTTGTCTTTGTCGCACCATTTGCCGTACTTGCTGCAGCTGCGGCTGCTTTGCGTAAAGCCGTCAGTAACTCGTCATCATCACCGATCGTAAGCCAGATTGTTAAGACACGAGGTACGGTTCGATAGAAGTACTTTGTTCCGTAACTGGCAGCATATAAGAAGTACTTGCAGGTGTTGTAATGCTGAACAAGAGGGTTTCCAATCCGCGCTCCGGATTGGTCGGAACTGTCTTTCTCTTGTAACTGATCGTAATATCGTCCGAGCTGATACCACATCTTTTCGCTGTTGGGATCCAACTCAGAGCAATGCTTGTACAATTCAACAATTTCGTTGGGATGGTGTCGTCCAGATTCTTCTGCTAATCGTGCACAGAAAAGATGTGCATTTGCCAAAGAATGATTCCAACTTGAATCCATACCTTTAGCATTGCGCAAACAATTCTTTAATTCTTGTAATGCTGCTTGATTTTGATCATTTATTGCAAGTAACTTTGCGTGTTGCACGAATGCCAGAGGAACTTTCCATTGGGATGCTTGGAGAGCGGCAGAGTATGACGTTTGCAAGTGACCTTCACGTCGAGCGATTTTACTGCTTGCGATCCAACATTGACCTGCTAATACCTTCAAATTTTCGTCAGATCGGGTGCTGAGAGCAGATCGGCGCATGCTCAAAATAGGCTCTCGGGTACGGAAAGAAGGCAATGTTGAATTGAGACGAATATGGAGCGCTTTCTTGAGGTCATTGATAGAATCTGAAGAAGAGTCTGTCGAAGGAAGGGTGGATAAGCCAGACTTCAATGTTCCGTGATCGATCAAGCCTAGGGCTTGTCCAATCATGCTGAATTCGTGTAGCATGTGTAATTGGGAAACAGTTTCGTATTCTCCTAGATAGTCACTTTTACTCTTATTTCGTCCAATCAGAGATTTGCCGACCAAACGTCTTGCATCTTTGATGGACGATTGGAAAGCTGATACATCATGATCATGCATCGCCAACATGACACGGGCCATGGCAAGCTGTGTCGTACGTGTTGATGTATTGATCGATTTTCGAACTTCATCCCAATCCGAAAGGATGCAGCTTCCCTCAACGTAGAATGCAGATAGACGATCTTGCCAAATATCGCTCCGCGTACCTGCACTTGCCACCACTCCTCTGATATGCATTCGCATCGTATCGTAATGTCCCAAGTTACGTAAACAGCGTAACAACCCAATGTGTAAGTCTAAATCTTTCGGTGATTCCTGGATCTTGACTTCCCAGCAGCTTTGGGCTGATGTCCACCGTCCTGTGCTTTCGTGCTCACGGATTTGATGATCTAGTGAAGGTCGCAAAACAGAACATGAAACACCCTCCATTCCATCTGGTTCTTCTAGATTGGCATAGATCAAGTGAACATCCTCAAGGCTTTCTTGAATTTCAGGTTTTGATTCTCCATCTTCTGAGACACTTTGAAGTAGTCTGATTCGTTTTTCGTGATTCAACAAAGATCTTGCGTATGCACGACAGCGCAAAGAAGCTTTCGCCATCAAATCGGTAGGTATATCTGCCATCCAATTCTCAACGCGTTGGATTGCCGTTTCTGCTGCATCTCTACGACTGCTTCGTTTGGATTTGCTTGCATCACCTTCCGCAGCTGTAGATGCGCTTCCACGACTTTTTTCTCGTTGTCTTGCCCTTTGCCAAACACTTACATGGTCTAGGATACCAAAGATTACTTGAGCCGCACGTTCTGAATGCAATTTAGGAGAGTCAGCTACCTGATCCTGTAAGACGGCGATGATTTCTTGATGTACGTCATGGATAGCATCTCCTTCGTCTTGCGATACAACAGCATTGAGGACTAAGTCTGGTAGAATGTGTTGGGCTATGCTCAGATCATGATCACGAATGACTGATCGAAAGACGTCAAAGAGTGCAGCCACATGATCATCTTTTATCTCGATGATTAGGCTATTGGTCCAGCTTTGTAACCATTCCTTGAAACTTTTTGTTGAATTATAAAATGGCCTAGGTTTTACAGCCGGCTCATTATGATGAACGAGATACTTGGATTCGAGCAGAGGTGCCAATGTCTCTACGTGAACGGCTAAATGTGCATTCCAACGTTGTCTTGTCTTTAAGCTGACGCTACCCGTATTTGCACCTTCTCTGCGAACACCTCCAGGATTAGCAGTAGAGGCCGAACCAGCGGGTAAGAGGGCGGTGCTGAAACCACAGAATTTCAACAATTCTTGAATAGCATAAGCAAGAGCAGATTGATGCTTTGTATCATGTGTCGCCTTGTACGCTCCAACCAAAACATCTGCAATCAAAGAAACAGCATATGTGGTTAATTCTTCTTTGTCGTTGAAGTCGTTTAGAGGGACGTTCTTTTGACCCTCGTCCAGAACGGGCAAACGATCAGGATCGATCGCGCCAACGATTCCAAGATTTTCAAGACTGAGATCTCGAATATCTTCATCATCTCTTGCCATAGTTTCAAAGAGTACACGGATCAATTTGCCAATCACAGGTTCGAATACGTTACCCGTCGTGGCCTCATCCAAGAAATTGTTCTCGCGAAGGAGGAATACTCGAAGCTCTTGTAATGCTTGTCCACACATACTCGCATTCTCGTTGGCAACACGGCCAAGAATTGCAGCCAATCTTTCGTCAGGTCTCTTGGGGGTTTGCTTCTTGGCCGAGCTGGATAGCTTCTCCCATACTTCTGGAATGTCTTTCTTGATCTCTGACAAATTTGGAAATTCTCCGTTGTTGAGATATGTCTCAAATTTGGCGTAATTGTCAACAACAACATACGTCAAAATGCTATTTGCTGCAACCTTTTCTGCCTTTCCAAATTTTGGCCACGATGCCAGAAATGCAGCAGCAGTTTGTCCGATAAAGGGACCGGTGTTCTCATCACGAACGATCGTAACGAATGTATTCCAGCTTTCCAGTGTGGGCAGCATCAACTCTTTGACTTGCATTGTTGTATTGAGAGTTGCCATCAATTGCGGCGTCACACTTGAGATTGATTCGCCTACAATTCCAATCAAGGCACCAATACTACGAGCTACTTTGGCTTTGTGTGACATGGTCTTCTTTCCGTGCACGTTCATCAATTCCTCATTGAGCCATGAGAGAATCGCGAGAATTTCTTCTTTCAAGTATTGAGAGAGTGCAACGCTCCTACTTTGCGTTGACAAATTTGCTCTCTGACGATCCTTCAAGGTTGCACTCATGTACTGCAGGCCTTCTTGAGCACGTTTGCGTTGAAGAGGTAAGGGGTCACCGAGATTGCTTACAAGATGTCCCAGCAGTTCAACTGAATATCCCTTCAACAAGCTTTTGAGTGTGATACCGCCCACATTTCCGTCATTCGCTCTTCCTTCAGGGTCAGCACCTGAGCCACGAACTTTGTCAATGAACGTTTGCATGCAATGATCGCGCTTGGTTGCTGGAAGAATCATCAAAAGTGCTTTTAAAACGGCAGGTGCATTATTGAAGCACATCGTTTGCACATCCAAACCAATCCCTTTTGCGATCAAATTGAGCGTTTTGTCATCTCGCACTTCGATTATGCGTGGTAAAGTGAATTGCAAAGTTGCTTGCAGAAACTTGGACTGATTCTGCATGGTCAATTGAAGCGTCTCGAGGAATAGGGTTGGCGTTTTGGACATCCTCTCAACGATCTCAGGTGCGATGATGCTCAAATGAGGGGCAAGAAGTTGAAAAGTTGTGCATTGTTGTTTTGTAGCCAATTCTGTGATTGCTGAAAACGCTACAGCTTTCGTCAAAGGATCAGAACCAAGCTGTAAGGTTAGAAGTTGTAATACCTTGCCTTGCACATAATTGGCTTCCACTTCTGAGTTCAAAGTAGAAACGACGTTACCCAAACCCAGCAGGCAGAGCAAAGCTGTTTCTTTCACCTTTGCATTGCTGGTCTTCAAGAGAGTATGAAAACCGGCGAAAAGGGGATCAAACCTTCGATACTCTCTATTCTCGCCTTCCATGAGCATCTTTGCGACGATTTTGATAATTTGTTGGCTAGCAAGAAGACGTGTCGTCCTTTGTCTCTTTGAAAGCCCATCTGAAACTAGCGAAGGAAGATGATGCGCTGATTCTCCCAAATTCTCAGTCTTTCCGTTGATTCCTCTTTTCCATTCTTGCAGCTTTCCGTGTGGTTTCATTCTTTTACCTTGTGACTTTGTGGCGCTGGTTCCTTCTTCAAGGAGCACTGAGCGCAGCCTTTCCTCTGTCTCTTTCGTAAGGGTGATAGTATTTGCAAGAATCGCATATTTGATGATCTCTCTTCTTCTGTCCTGTACACTTTGGTGGAGATTGCCGCACGGTAGCATTTCATCTCCGATCTTACAAGCCCAATTGCTGTACAATAGGTCACCCGCCAGATTTCCAAGGTCTGCAAACAATTCAGGAGAGGTGAGAGACGTTCGAATGAGGACATCACAAGTATTGAAGAACAAAGCGTGAGCTAATTGAGAACGTTCATGTTGACTGATATTGTTCCATGGAGGTGTAAATGTAGCATGATCTTCTTGCATCCATACACCGCCGATGCCTTCCGACATGCTCCCTTGTGCTTTCGCGATGTCAATGTGATCTTCTCGTGAGGAAGGGCCGAGGTATATGGTAAAAGGAGCATCTGGTGTTACCTTCTGTTGAGGAGTATATTGCAATGGCGGAGGTTGTCTGTTGTCGAATGATGGCACACCAATTCCTGCCAAAGCCAGGATGGAAGCTTTGAGTACCTCTTCCATTATTTTCCTTGCTTTTTCAGCTCCACCTGATGTCTTTACGATTGATGTTCTCAGAACCATGACCGCCAATTGTACGAGTTTCCGCGTAAGCTTCTGACTTTCACTTGTTGCTGTATCGCTTTTACCGCTACATGACATTGCCGATGCACAAAGGAGACGAGGTAAGATCCATGGCAGCAGAGTTGTGCTGATTGATGAAGATGATGGAAGTGATCCTTTGGTGTGGAATGTATGCGTGAGAACATCTGGTCTCTCTGACAATAAGTTCTTGACGAAGGAGATAGCATCATCTATACCGAATCCATTTCGTTCTAGCGTATTGGGATCTCCGCTGTAGGACGGCTGACATATCGGAGTGATGAAGCCTGTACATAGCATTCTCAGCAGCATATGAGCTGTACTTTGCTTTTTTGTCTTTTCGTTCGAATCATCTTCGCTGTTCGAGGTAGGAGTGGGAATGATGATGTATCGGTCATGTTGGTCTTGTTGTTTTAATTGTCTGAAACGATCTCTACGTTGAGTGAGCAGCTCATCCACCAAGCTTTTATCCAACGGTTTGGACTTTTGAGTGATCGTCATTGGGTATATTCATCCTTGGGGTGTGTGATGGTGTATGTCTTGCGGGAAAGAAGTGTTGGTCTTTTTGAGTGAATGCATGAATATTCATTATTACATACGCGTCTCTCTACTCGCGTAAATGAATCAATGCATTTCGCTCACGTGCACGTACAACAACACGCCTCCCTTCATGGATGGTGGTGACCGGTTGTCAGCTATGATGATCCATCTCGCCGAGGTTCCAAGTGAGGCGTTGGGCTTGATGATGCCCAAACTCCATGGTTATTTACTTGATCGCTCTTCATACTACTACTACCAATTTAAGAATGAGGAATAACGCCACGGTTTATTGCGCTTTCACGTAATCGTGATTCAAAGTTTGAGCCAGGTTTTATATCAATTTCATTTTCCTTTGAATCCAAATAGATCGGTTCAGGCTCACCTGGTGCAAGCTTATCATGATTAAATTCCATACTGTAGAAATGATGACCATGAACGAGCCTATTTGCTGATGGTCTTTAAACATTGCTATAAAGTTATTTTAACTGGTTCGCTGAACTGCTCGTCGGAGGCGAATAACGTACTGGTGGCGAGAAATTATCAGCTGCATTTTTTGTATGCATTGAGAATACAGCGGAAGCTGAAAAGCATAAAGCTAAAGGCGTAAAATGAGAAGGCACAAACATTGCCAAAGGGCAAATGATGTTGGATAATTTATAATGGGTAGATCTCGTACAAGAGGAAGGAAGTGAGCTACTTATAAGGATTGAAAGGCCATTTCAAGCCAAATTTGCATCGTGTAGAACTTACAAGATGTGAGAAGCGATGTCCGGGGCAGAGAGTACATCGAACCCCTTCTCGAACCTTTTTATCAAATATTATCAGACTTCTGAAGGCGGTGTTTGTCATTGGGAAAATTGCGTTATGGATATATTTTTTTCCATCCCGGCCCATAAGTAATTCCGCCTCTGTAGCATAATCGGCAGTGCATTCGGCTTTTATGAAAAAGTGGATTTCTACGACGTAGAAAACCGAAAGGTTGCGGGTTCGAGCCCCGCCGGAGGCTACTCTTTTTGGCGTTAATTTTAATATTTTCTCAGCTTTTTTCCTGGCGTTGATTTTTATTAAAATTAAATGTTCGTAAATTAAGCTGACTAAAATTGTCGAACCGCGCCTCTTTTTTGATTGCTTACACTTTTTCATATAAGCAGAATGCACCACCGATCATGCTTACAGATGCAGTCAAAGCGATGATTATCAAGCATACGCCGTCATGTTATCCTTATTCACATAATTGATAGAATTTGTCTCAACTTCAGGTTGAAGGTAACAGTAACTTCAAAAGCGGACTGTTCTCTATTACCGCTAGAGCTTAAAGAAGGCTTCAGAGAAAAAGAAGGCTTCAGAGAAAAAGAAGGCTTCAGAGAAAAAGAA